GGAATAATTCGTTTTCTGACATATATGACCCTCATTCTGAACAGGTTTATGCAAAAAGATTGACAAATTAGCGAAAAAAAAAGAGTGTGAAGATGTCGGTGAGTGGCGACAGTCTGTATCAAATCATATGTATTGGTGTGCTGCCACGACACCAGATGGTAATGGGCATATGATGCAGGAAAAATGGAAAATATTACCCCTGCACATCCAGAACATTCACGTCAATCAGAGCAGCGAACTCTACAAAGAGTGTGGACATGGTGAACTAGAGGGAGAAGCAAGGGATAGACTTTGGCTTCAACCAGGTTTGTAGACAAAAAAAAAAATAACATCCAGTAATTCCTCTATTGCCATCTCAAGTTATAGAATAGAAGGCTACATTTTCTGTCAGAATCAAGGAAAACCTTTTAATTAGAATAAGGCCAGTGTCATTAACACTGTTTAGATGACAGAAAAGGTGTCCACTAATTCACTAATCAGGAAATTAAAATGAACCACTCTAAAAAAAAACGACAAAACGTTATAACGTGACGAGAAAAAGGCACATATATACAAACATTTACAAACAGTCACCTTTATGTACGGGAATTTTGACGACAACTAGGTCCTCAATTTCACAGGCTCAACTGCTGCTGTCAAGCTCGAGGAGCTGGTAACAAAGCCCCAACTGCTGAAGGACATTTCTCAGCTGTCCCCTAAGTACCAGACTTCCGCCCTTGAAGCCAAACATAGCCTTGATCTACACTTCGTCCCAAAACATACCGCTTTCTCGTACTGGGGGATGTACACAAGGTTTGTGTCTCTAATGGATTAATAGTTACCATAATAAACTTTTGAGATTGGTCTATTGTTTTCCTTTAATTTCTTTTTCAGTATTATTTTCTTCTTCTAAGCTATGGACTCTTTCCTTTTACTTAAAGTTAGCCTAATGGTTCTTTCCCCGCCCCTCTAAAAATATGAACCTTTCAGACTGTGCCTTTCTGCTCTGCACTACAATGAAAATGCTGACAGGATGCAAGCTGTAACTGTAGATGGGAGACCACGCTATGCCATCAGGTTTCCTAAAGCCAAACACGGGGGATATTCAGTGAGAGAAGTTAAAACAAAAGCAACCTATGGTGGGTAAATAGTTAAAACATAGCCTGTGTATAGTCCCCCCCCTCCCCTTGGATAAAAATGGAGAAGGGGCCCCTTCTCAGCTTTTTACTGAGGGGAGGGGGCGCTGTACACAGGATACTTATAACATAGATGTTTCCATTCCCCTGAAGAAGAATATTGTAAAAATTAAATTGCTGTTCTGTATATTTTGAGATCATTTGTTAAGGCAACCATTATCTGCAGCCACATTTGCTTATGGTAAAAATGATTTTCACATAGCACAGTAACCTGTGAATTTCATGTCACACAGACAGATATGACATCTGAATGAAAACATTTCAATAACTAAACTTGAGGTTCACTCCTACAGTATTATGTACCTTTTTATTTTAGGTTATTGCTCAAGTACCATAACCAAAGTCTTTGCCGGCTATGAAGACAATTCAAGGGCCTTAAAGACCTACATGTTGAACCTGCAAGTGAATACCCCACCACCACTTGCTGCATCCATAGAGAGACCCAACAGAGAGGAGGCAATAAATTCTTTCATTAGCAGATACAATCGTTCCAGCCTAGTCAACTAAAGAAAGACTAGCATGCCCTTCAGTATGGAATGCTTGAAAAAACTATTTTAGGCTAAAAATTATGTCACTACTGTGACTAAAATGATCATGTGCTATATGGTCTTCACTTGAACCGGACACCTGGAAGAAAAGTATCCAAGAAAAAAGTTTTTTGAAAACAGAAGATTCTGAATTTTGTTTCAACAATGCATACGTTGAAACCTTTAAACAGTTTGAACTCAACTTACCTCTCAGGAAAACAGCTCTCAAATTCATAAATGTCATTGGTCCATTGCAAACTGAAAATTAATGATTAGATAATCTTCTTCCAAGTACCCTGGTTCAAGTAGTGGGACTGTAAACTGTGAACAACTTTGTGTATCGTTGTTGTCTAATCATTTATTAATATGGAAGATAGAAACAAGTCAATTGATTTTTTTTTTTTAAAATGAGGATTAACCATCCAATCACAAGCCTTGAGCAAATAAAAAGAATAATTATGTATTTCCCACACATCACGGGCTTTAAAAAACCATGTAGTCTTAAAGTGAACTTTGTAGTTCCCCTTTCTTTGTTGACACTTCCATGCTACATATTTAAAAGTAAGGGGCATTTTGTTTGCTGGTAGCAACCATTTTCATGGCAACCAAGTATCCCTACGCCAATCTTCCAATGGTGAGTGAGAAAATTACATTATAATATTCTATATACAGCAGGGTTATTTGAAAAATATTTTATATTTATTCATCTGCATATTGAAATCCTGTATACTCCATCTCATCATCCAGCCTTTCAGGCTCCTGGAAATGAGCCCGTATGCAGTTAACTGCACATGATGGTAAGGGAACTCTTATGTCCTTTCCAAGGAGCCCCAGCACCACCTTACCAATTGCCTGTACGCAATGTGCCTGCTTTTTTATGATCTGATCCCTCATATGCCGAGGCACCATACTGCTGCTTGTATTGCAGCCATGCAGCTTGTAACACCCAGTAATTCAGGCAAACTGCCTGGAATCCTGGGTGTTCCACGATGCACTTTGGAGGCTCCTCCATATTTTCAACGTCAACTGCCTCCAAATTTTTACGCTTTACAACATCCACCTCTTGGCAGCAGATGTTTTCCTCCTCCCGCCACATTTTCTGGCAGTAGCCACACAAGCACCTTGCAAACAATCAATAGCAGTTATGTTTTTCATGATCAAAAGTGAATGTCTGGCTAATGAAAGGCAAAAAAGACAAGTGTTGAATATTGACATTTTCATTCTGCACCCGAAACTTATCAAACTGCCTTATTCACACTTCAATGTTTATGGCCTTATTAAGTATCTCATGTCCATAACCAAAAAATAATCGAGAACAAAGTTCCTGTGGCTATATCAAATCAAATGCAATATTATTGTGAATAAAGTTACACAACCATTATTATGCTCAAGACAAAAACATAAGTGAATATAAATATGTCTCAGCCTCGAATATTATATACCGAGGAGAAGAAACCTTTATGCAAGCAGTTAATATTCACATGGGCGCATAAAGACCAACTTTTCACAATAACATCAGGATACACGAAAGCTAGAATAATGACTTGTTAACCACATTCATTGACAGAACGACACACATTAAAGATTAGTGAACGACTTGTAAGGGCAAAACTATACAGCGCCTTTCAAATGTTATGTACACTGTATAACAACTACATGAACATGAACAGCTGTCAATGGGGTAACGATAAACAAATGTAAATATATTTACTACAGTCAACAGATTACGAGAGCGTAGTTTTGGTAAGAACCTATGCTTGTGGCAAAACCACTATTAAACCAGAAATTTAAAAAAAATACACTGAAGTAACTTGCCCAGATTATCATTTCGAGCAGTCCGTTGCAAGGGAAAATTACGCTTTCGAGCACTTGTGCATGTGAGAAACATTCAAAATTATAAACACTCCGATTTCCAAAAAAAAGGTGCATGTTTAATTAGTCATTTTCCTTTTACAATTTAGATAATCCATAACATTGATGAAATCGAGCGATATTTGGATCGCATTGTACATAACAAATGTTATATACCATCTGGGCACTCACCATTCTTCACTATCGAGATCGCAGCGACGCGTGGCAGGCTCGATGTTTTCAGTCGACTCACGAACTTCGTCAGCCTCGTGAGATCTTCCAGGCGGCTCAAAACGCCAGGGTTGAATCCCTGTGAAGGGCTGCCCTCTACTTTCGGGTGCTTCGCATTCTAAAAGTTCTTCTATATCTGAATAATCGGACGAAGAGGTAGAGCTATCGCTCAAAGAACTAGAGTCGGCCATATTAGAGATCATTTGTTGTTCCACACGTGTGACGTAACGTCACGTGATCAACGAAATCGAAGCGTTAATGGCGGAAGATCGAGTGAGCGGCAAATTGGACACTTTCAATTGCGATTTCTGACCCAAATAGATCGCGTAAGATATATTTCTTGGTGGTATTACAATAAGGGAAACATTTGCAAGGTTTTCCCGAAAAATGATGTCCTACGCGAGAGTTGCCCTTTAAGACAAGAGTGGCAGTAACCAAAAATGCGAATTTCTTGCCACTGGCTACCTATTGAATCTGGGCGCTACAAGAAGATACCCAGAGTTGAGAGGCTTTGCCCCCTTTTACTAACAGCTCCGAAATTACCCACCCATCACTTTCTCATATAAGGGATATCTTCTTAGTTGATAAACAGTAACTTTACGAATATGTCCTGCAAGGAAATTTTTATATATCATGTCTATGTGCGATGAAAACATCATAAATCTCAGTGCCTCTTATATTGAAAATATTCTAAATTGTTATGCATCCGAGCTCTAATTAAACTTTCTTACCATACGAGTAGCGTAGAAGCCGTACATAGCCAAGTAATTTTTTTCTTTAATGATAATATTCAATTGTTGCTTTCTTTCTTACTTAACTTTTACTTTACTTTTTTCATTTGTCATTGTCTTGGCTGTTTTGGTACTGAAATCTTCATGTCGACGATAAAGTCAATAAAGTTGTTGTTGTTGTTATTGTTGTGGCTAGATCTCTCTGGTCCCACTGGCCGGATACTGGGCAACATAGGAACTCCGCAAAAATATTAATTAAACGATTGAAAAGGCAAAAAAATAAACTGTCTTTCGCCATGTTAAGGACTAAATAGATTGTCTCTGGGCCAAATTTCAGAACTCTTGCGACCAAGAAAGGAAAGTTATTGCGATATTTAACCTGAAGTAACCGGATACTGGGCAACATACTGTTCTGTATATCATATATGACGGGGATGACGGGGCTATCTTCGCGGAGAAACCGCTGATCACAACCAAACAGTGCACGTGGTTTTTCCTGACCAAGATGGCGTCTGTTGTTGGCTGCCTTCTTGTTATTGGCTTTTTTCAAGGATCTGTGCTCGGTGAACAGCAACAAAACACACTCAACGTCCCGCAAGTTCTGTTACCTTACGCTCCAAGAGGATCTGTGCACACAAATTTTACACTGAAAGCTTTGCAGGGCTGTTACCTGTGGTAGGTCGAATTTTCGTGCAAAATTGGCGCCATTTTACGGTATTAAGCTTAATTAAACTTTATTAAGAGTTTGACATAAACAGCGAGAGTCACCTATCATGTTTTCCCATAGGTTATCTAACAGACCTGAGGTTGCTACTGTACAGCCTGTGTACAACAACGAGGAGGATACAACTGGTAAGGGACCGTTATTCATCCACTCTAAATTCGAGATTGCTCCGAATCTCGCAATGTAGAAAAAGTTTTCTTATTATACGAGAAAAAATTTAAAACAAATCGTAGGATAAGAAATCTTTTTTCTGTAATTTAAACAGGCAGTTTGAATTGACGAGAACAAAATCTTATTCTATGATTTGTTTTAAATGTTTTTCTCAATGCCAAGCTGTAACAGTCTCAGGTGCTAGTATACAGCCGAGCGAACGAAGAGATAGTTCCTAATCGCGAAAGTTTTGCTCAGCTAGTGTTGGATGGTTTCGACAATGCAGACCCATTAACCCATTTTGCAGGCCTTGAAAGTCTTGGAATTTAATTGTCGGTCATGGAAAGTCATGGAGAATTGAAATTATATTTGTTAGATTAGTTTGTGCACACTCCAAAACAAGGACAAAAAAAGGACAAAACAGCTTTTAAAAAATGGCACACATTTTGGGGGAGAGTGAAGTGTTATCTGTTGAATTGAGTTAGGTAAAAATACCCCAAAACAGGATAGTTTTAAAAATTTTCTTAAATGACAGCTTTACCTAAAGTCATGGAAAACTGGAAAAGGTCACGGAAGGTCGCTCTGAATTCGTATATCACTCTTTCCTTTTTCCTTACTAATTTGGAACTGTAACAATAAATATGTTCATACACTCCTGTAGTTCCCTTGAAATCCATACCCCATTCCAGGTATACACGTTTTAAGACCAAAGCGGCATGGCTTACATAAGGGAGTACCCCCCCCCCCCTGGTAATACATATCCAGTATATTTAAGCTAGTGAAGTTTGTACTGGGGTGCACACAAACTTTAACTGAAAAACTATGCAAATTTATGGCGAGAATTCCATCATAATGACACTGGGTAATTCCCAAAATATCCATAAGATATCCCAGGTGGCTTCCTAATACAGTAAATCCCCCTTGCCTGTGGAATTTCAAGACTTTTGACAAGACTTTTGCCACCAACTGAATATCAGAGATTCATTTGAAGTCTAGTCCCTGACAGTGGCGAAGCTACCCAACTGGTTTGAAGTCTGTAGCTGATGCAACTTGAGGGCTTCTTGCAAAGGTCCTGACAAGTAAGCATTACTGGCTCAGTGGCCTCAAGGAAAATGCAGTGTGTATGAGAAGGGTTCAGAAGAGTGTCTAGATGAGATAGTAAAAACCAAAAATGACCCTTCAATCCATTGAAGTATGCCGTTTGTAACTGGCAGTAACTTATTGGCTGAGGTGAAGAAACAAGGCAAACGTTAAGGTTATGAGACTTGGAGTGGAGTTATATTGACCCCAGGTGAAACAGACAGAGTTGGAAACTGTAGTTGAAACAAGCACAGGAAAGGTTTCCTGAGGTAATGAAAGATTTGATTGGAGCTAAAGAAGTCAAAGGCAGATAATGCTGCCAGCAATGGGTTCAGGTGGGATTGGAGTACTTGGTGAAGTGTTTGAGTCGCTGGTCTGCAGGACTTACCACTGATGAGCTGCAGACTGCTTTCAACAAGGTAGAAGCCTTGATGAACTCGAGACTATTGACACGTGAAGGAGCTGACCCCCAAGATGAACCAGTGTTGACACCTAACCACTTTTTAGGTGGGCATCTGGGAGGACAACTATCACCTCAAAGTTACTGATGACATAGCCTCTTATCCCAAGAATTGTATAGTTGAAGACTGATTCAGAACCTAGTGAAGATGTTCTGGAGCTGGTGCTGGAGAGATCAATGTTGTTTTCATCACACTTAACACCTGAAGGAAATGGAGAGAGGCAAAATACAACCTAAAAGCTGGGAATGTAGTGGTTGTTTTTTATCTTGATGCTGCATGCTGTTAGTGGCATCTGGGTCGAGTAGAATAAGAAAAATTTTTTTTTTTTTTCAATCTTGATCAAAAGTTTCTTTCAACTGCTAAAAAAAAAAAAAAAAATAGTAATCCATGCTGTTATAGTGGCATCTAGTCCGATTTAATGGCTCCTTCAGCAACCGACGTCGATATCAAATAATAATAATAATAACAAACCAATAATCAAAATAAATAAACCTTTGTTCCATATAGATGTCTATATGATTAGCTGTTCTAGGCATTTTACAATATCACAAAAAATGTATTAAAACTCTAAACAATGCAACAACTACATTATAAGTATGAAAATTAAATAAAAATCTATTTATAAATTAAGAAAAAGCATGGTGAAATAAATATGTCTTTAAGTGTTCCTTGAAAGAATTCAAGGAATCAGCATTTCTTAAGGATGCCGGTATGCATAATTTACAGTACAGGCCACGGGCATTGCAGCATTACACGCGCGTTTATGCGTGGAAATCCGCCATATTGCACGCAAATTCTATGAGAAAAACACTCGTGTAAAAATATACACGCAAAGATACACGAGAAAATGCATGCAAATTAGGAAAATTTGGGTGTAAAACTTTACACGCAGATTGTTATAATTTGCTTGTATTCGGTTTATGTGAGTTCTTATATCGCTGGCTGAGCGAGTGCAGTTGTACTTGTGCGGGTGGCTTTAATTTGTTAGCATAAATCAAACTTTCGAGGCACGTTCAAATGTTAGAATTTTATGTTATCGAGCTAAAAGTGATCCAAGCTTTTTGATCGAATGAACATTGTTTGAATATTTATATGTTCTTCGCTTGAATCTTCATTTGTAGAGGTTTCAACTAAAATCAGATTCAGTTATCAATTCGCAACTATTTTGATGGACCAACTACTCTGTAATGTGACGCTGTAATTTACATCTCTTTTTTGGTGAAGGATCGCTTCTACATGTATTTTGTTCATGGCATTTCATCTCCTACTTTTAGTTAGCTCACTGCTTTGAGTTATTTTCTTCTGCAACAATCTCCTTTCTCCTTCCTGCAATGTAGGTCCGAAATGAGAAAAATTTCTTTACGCAACACCCGGCGTCACTCAGTCGCATTGTCCGTCTACGTTTAAGCAAACAATCCAGCGTTACTGCAAGAACTAATGTTTTCACCAAGGAAAGGTTTTCTTTTAAGGTCTATGTTTTCAGCAAAGCGTGTTTAATTCTTGTCAAGGGCAAAGAAAATAACACGCTGCATTTTTATCGTTTACACAAGCTTCTATTTCCAGAAAACGCATGGAATTGAATTACTTTAAATTTTGTCTATCTTCAACAGATGGCGCATTGCAAATAACATGCAAATTCGGAGTGAAATTGTATCCAAGTTTAGTAATGCACTGAAATTTTAAAGCAACAACTAAGGGCATATCGTTAAGCCCAACGCTAATTCAATGTCAGGATAAAGGCATATGTAAAAGAGAAACCTGGTCTCTAAAATTTAGTGCCGATCGTGCGAAATCCCTGGGTGAAATCAAACCCTCTAGTCATCCCGATTGTTCGAACTCTCGCTAACTGGAACATCGCGCTTACTCAAGTCAATTTCCCCTGGGTTTTCTTCATACAGCCAGTGACTGTAATTTACCTTAGCTAACTCAAAGTAATTTTTTGTTTCCCTTCAGATCATTTCTCTACAATTTTACCCTTGATAACTCGAACCATGTATTATAAACAAGTCTGAACTGAAAAAAACAGTATACTGAAGTCCGAGCCCGAGAGTCCGAGTGCCTGCTACGCAAGCTAAAACATATTTCAAAACAACATTTGTGGCAAGTAACATGCATCCAAGTTTACATGTAAAATAGCGCTTCAGCCAACAGCCAAGGAAATCGTTGATTACAAAACATGACGTTCGCAATCGTAGCATAATTGTAGTAAGAGAAACTGTACAGTAAGTTGTTTTCTTTTTCACCGCGAAAACACGTTTCGGTTTCTAACTTATATCAGCCACATTTGCTGTTACACGCAACTTGCGGGTATTTTTATAAGGAAAATCAGTCACCTTAAAAATACACTCAAATTTGGGTGTAAAAAGTCTGCACGTAAAAGCTCGTGTAAAAATTTACACGCAAGTTTTTTGCATGGATTTTTCGTGGAAATCCGCCATGTTGCACGCAATTTATGCGCGTGTAAGTGCTGCAATGCCCGTGCCCTGTACTGTAGGTCTTGCAATAGAAAGTCTTTAATCACCATAAGTAAAGTAACTTATTCGAGCAAAAACGGAAAGAGTAGGAGCTGCAACAAAAACTGAGCAAATTGGGTATACGACTTGGTGAAAGTCCATTGATAGCCTTATATACTAACGATAAGATTTTATAAATAATAATTATGGTATTCAACAGGCCACCAATGTAAGTCTATTAAACTGGGTGTTATACAGTATGTAGGTTCATACATGTACTTAGCTTCTTGGTGAATGTTTTGATGCACACTGCTCTATTCTGAACTAGCTGTAGGTGGTTTAAGAGAACTTTAGGTAGTCCATATAGAATCGCATTACAGTAATCCGAGGTGGTAGTCACAAAAGCATGAATAATTGCTTCAGTAAGTTCACGATCCAAATATGGATATGTAGTAGAAGTGTTTGTGGGTTAGGATGGACAAGTGCGCATTATCCTGGAGGTAAGCACAAGGGACCAGAAGGTTATACACCTATTGACAAGACTGTTGGAAGGGAGAGGAGGGGTGAGGATGGACACATGATCAACCTGAACTTGTTGTTTGTAAGTACCAGGTGCTACTTGCAAGGTTGTACCCTAAGAAAAACTGAATTGAGCCATGTCCTCTGAAACTGTAGAATGTAGGGTGCCTAGCATGTGATTTGTGTGAAAGTAGGAAGATTTTCTAGTTGCATGGGCTCTGCTAAAGCACAGCCTTGTCCTGTGGGGATGATGGAAATTGATGGAATAAAGAGTTTTAAGAGCACATTGAAAATGGCTGTAGTGTTTTGTGTGAACCAGGTTTTAGAATGGAATTTTGTGCACCTGAGTATATCCACTAAAGGATAACAATGTTTTGGAAATTTTTTGTTATATTATATAACTTTTTTTGTTTACTGTGATATGTATAGTTCTTTTTAAAGGTTATGTAATGCTGTTGTAATTCTTTTCCAGGAAAAGTAATAAAGTCAAGTTTTCTTAGCAGTGCTTATATAAAAGGAAATGGTACATAAATATATCGTAAATTTCTGTAACTGAGACTGATAATGTCTTTTCTTTCAATGCTACTCTGCTACCAGCTTGTAACAAAAACAGTTTAATGCTGTGTCCTAAAGTTATTAGACTTCAATTATTGAAAGTCAAGGAAAATATCCTGTCCAAAAACTCCATGGTAAAATAAGGCTGACTGATTCCCACTTTTCACGTCACTTGTATCTCCTTTGAAAGTCTTTTTAGCTGTTCTCTTCCTGTGTCATTTTCTCAGCAGCCAGACAGTTTGATAGAAAATGTTCAAGAGAAGCTCTAGTTACTGCACAGGCAAGGCTTCCAGAGAGACAAATGACTGAAATCTTAGCGGAAGAGGAAGGTACAATTTCTTTACTCAAAATAATTGTCTTTCTTTAAGTGAAAGTTACTGGTATTATCTGGCAAGTGGACTTTTAGACTTTACTATAATTGCCTGCTCATTATTAAACAGTCAGGAGGTGTGTACTGCATTACTCAGCCAATCAGGCGTGAGAAACTAAACCACAAACAAATATAGTACTTATTTGTGGTGTTGTGTCCTGATATTTGTTGCGATTGTATGCAGTCACAACACAATAAAGAGTTTGAGTAATTTTCAAGAGTCTGATAAAAGCAAGTCGGAAGTCTGACATAAGACATAGAAATAAATAGTTACGTAGAGCCGTTGTTTGTGATCAGTTGTGATCTCAGCGGATGTTTTTTTATCCTTATATTTCGGTGGTTGTCATTATTAATTTACTGTCTTCTTTGGTTCAACATTTCCCACAAAATTAAAAAATTGATAACAACAACCTGAAATTTCAACATTGAAAGGAAGTCAAAGGAAGTCTGCATGGACTCCCAAAGTGGTTTTTGTGGTTACGTCACATCATCCGGCAACTGCCGTCAAGTTACATGTTTGCTCTTACCTCTTTTGTAGGATTTCATCGGAGATCTTTGAAAAATTGTTTTAGCAGAGGCTGATTTTCTCTTTGACTCCAGTTTGCCATCAATTTCTTTTTATTAGATCTTGTACCACTGGGTAATATGTTGTAACAAAAGGAAATAGTCTCTCTATACTTTTTTGCTTTTGTTTTAGCACCGATTGTCTTATAATACAGCTGTAAGTCAAAGTTAACCTCTGACAACGACCTTTCTCTATCTTGTTTAGGATACCTGCGTGCTTCAAGGCATTGTTAAAAGTTTGCAAAGCACTCTTTAAATGTTTTTGAAGAGTTTGTTCTAACCAATCTTATTGCTTCACCTGTAATGAAACCTCTTTTTACCCCGGAGGGTGGTAAGAGGTAAAGTGTGTACATGTATATTGCAAGGTTTTGATTGGCTTATAGTGGGTTGTGATGTCCAAGATGGATTTCTCTGTGAATCGCTCTCTTTTGAAAACTACATGTATGGTGAATTTCAAGGAAAGTTATTTCATTCTTCGATATTTCGGCCCGTGAACTTTATTGTGAGATGGAACTTGTTAGCTTCTTTAATAAATCGTGTTGGAACTTGTGTATTTTTTGCTTTATACTTTAGCAGTAACAAAGTGCATCTCACTGCTATTATTCAGGGAACATGGCGAAATAAATTATTTTTTATCAATTATACATAAATTATTATTATCATTATTATTATTGATTATCACAATTATAATTATTTATTGTTTCACACTCTTGACATATCACTCTCGACAATCACTCTCGACAATTACTCAGACTCCTCAATAAATATTTCTGAGTTACATTACACAGGTTTTTGTTGTACAAAGTATTTCAGGTGTTCTCAGGTTTTTTAAGTTTTGATTAGCAATGACAAATATTATTATGCACATATCCATTTAGCAGCTCGCAGCGAAGATATCTGCCTGTACATTTTAGATTACACTTCATACCTGTATTGGAATGGACTACAGAATTACTGATCTACTGTGAAATTCAGGAGAAGCCAAGGAAAGAATTGCTAACATTGCTTGAAAGAAACATACATGTATCTGTTTTATACAGTTAAAAAAATTATGCAATGTGGTATGTTTATGGCGGTTAGTCATTATTTGCATTTCTGTCCACACTTAGTGAACTCCTCTCAGGTGATCAGCAGCAATATCGGGCAGGAAGTAGGGGTATTTAGCAAATCTTGCCAGCTACTGGAACAGTTGACTGTCTACAGGCCAGCTGGTCTCACTGGAGGTCGTCTGAGATCCTGAGAACTCATCATCCTTAGCTGCAGTTATTAAGAGCACTTCGACTCTAAATCAAAATGTCACAAACTTATTCAACGTTTTTATCTCTTTAGTGACAAGTATGATTTTGCGAAGTGATGTCTTTGTGGACACTATCAGTAAGATCGAGATCTTAACTACCACAAGAGAGTTGCTGCTTGGAGAACCTCCAGAAGTTTGTCATATACAGGCATTTGACACTGAAGGTAACAATAACATCTTTATATAGCATTGTTTAAAGAATTAACAGTGTAACCTTTCAAGTAAATTTATCTCTACCACAACTGTTAGAGTTGTTTTTCAGAAAGTGGGGATTTAACACTGTTGACAGTTTCTCAGTTGTGTCAGACAACACCAGATTAGAAAGGGTGGTGTAATAATGGATAAAACACTGTCTTGAAAAGAGCTTGTGAGCACAGTGGATAAAAAGATCCCCTCTAGATTAGTATTATTGTGTTAAGGGCGAAAAGTCCTACCAAATTCTGCTTGCATGGTTGTCTTGAATAGCTCCTGTGGTGTGTATAATTGAGGGCCATTGCTGTCAAGTTGTATTAGGCTGGCACCATCTCTATGCCATAACTTCCTAAAATCTGTACTTTCTTAATCTCAAATAATGCATCTGCTGAATGGCATGTTATCTGCTGAGCCAGACTCTGTTTAAACCAGCTGCTCTTTTATTGCTAAACCAGATTTTCTGTATAAATAAATAAACTAATTAATTAAATAAAATTGTCCTTAATTATTTTGCCTTGTCTTTACTCTTCAACCGCTGTAGTTCATAAAAGTGAGAGCAAAATGTTCAAAACTCAAGTGAAGCCATAATCTATAAGTAACTGGTTTTACTGCAAAGTAGTGAACAGTGTTTTGCTCTGCATAGGAGTGTTGCATATTTGATTGTACAAGCATACTTTGTTTATAAGTTACACCTGCATTGGAAATCACTTAAATATGTAATTAGAGGGTTGAACAGCGAGAAATTTCTTTTGTGTCTATTTTCTTTTTGTTTCCTTTGAAAGTAAAGGTGTAGGCAGGGATCAGGAATTGAAATTCAAGCTTTCGCCGATCAACAGCATCATATGTAATAAGAAGCAGGGCTGTGCTCTAGCAGAGCTCAGTGGCCCCTGGCACCTAACTTTTGCTCTTGGGTGACTGGGAAATACAAATCATATGCTGGGCACCCTTGATTTTACAGGTTCAGAGCACTGGGCTCCCCTCAGTTTTCCTTGGATCACACCGTTGGGAAGGTCGAAGAGCGAGAAATTACATGATACCATTAATCGGTGAAAACTTGGTTTCCAATTTTACTTTTTAAAAGCAGCAGTTTAAGGCCTCATTAGAACAATGTTTTTTATTTTTAATCATGCTACTGAAGGACAACATGAACAGATTAATAAAACTGTTTACAAGGGTACATTGTAGCTATTGTTTTAGGGTCTGAAAGCAAAAGTTACACTTGTAAAAGTTTTGTTAAATTGACTCCAGGGCCCAGTTGTTCGAAGGCCGATTAGCGCTTAACGTGGGGTTACATTTAACCAAGGTTTCTTTTTCTTTCGTTCAAAAGCATTTTCTCGGGTAATTTTCTCTGTTATTTTTAGAGCTTCCAATCATCAACTTGTAGAAAAAAAGAATTAAAACTGAAATGCTTTTTAAGCTTTCAAATCTAAATTCAAATCTCGCACTAACCTTGGGTTAACCCAGCTTTGAACAACTTGGCCCTGGCTTGTAAAAGGTGGGGGAAATCCCCAGCCCTTAGAACTTGATGAAAGTACCCTAATTTGCCATAGGAAATACAAGGTTAAGCAGCAAATGGTTAGAATGAACTTCTGGATTGTTGCTTTTGGAACAGGTAATGTGTTTTCTAGTCTGGATGGTGTTGAATTTGTTTGGGAACTTAAAACTGTGGAAGGAGTTGGATCAGTTAATGCTGAGTCTGTCTTAAGGTGAGTTATGTTCCACAGGGCTCCTGGCACAGTCCTGAAAAGAATGTGTATAAGTTGTTTAAAATTAATAGAACCTTGAGAAGTGCTTAAATTCTCTAAAAATTATTGGAAAATCTTTGAGATAAGTAATGGAGTATGGAAGAATTAAAGAGAATTTTTATCAGCATGGATCTTAGCAGTGTTCTTCCTTTCTAATAAAAATTGCTCAGCAATCTGCAAAAGTGACAAAATAACTTCAGTACATGTATCTTACTAACAACAACAACAAGAACTACTTTATTTTTTTGTCTGGGTGGTTTACAGACTGAAATTAACATACTATACATGTACATGTAGCTAACTACTAAACAAAGGTAAGTTAACAGTTTGCTGAAGTACCGTGTATCATAAATTAAAGAAAACTAACATGATTGACACTTGTGATGATCTAATTAGGTTACTCACTCCTTTGTTTGTTGTTTTCCTTTCAGGTTTATGCAGTTTGAGTTTTCAAGCTATGAAACCTGTCCTGAGATATATTCTTTGGAAGAGAAGGTTTTTATTGTTCATATACATGTGTACATTGTATCTACTGGTGCACGTGTGTGGGCTGAAAATAGACTTTACATGTAGTTGTCTTCTGAAGTACAGTGTATAGTTGGATAGTATTATAGAGGATTCTTTCCTTGAATAATTAACTTTAATAACTAATTACAGTTTTATGCCTTCTTAAATGGTAGGAAAGGCTGATACATGTACATGTTGACTCGTAATTCCTTGTTGTTGTTTTTTTTTTTCACAAGAAAGTGCTTGTTAGAGTGACACCCCAATCCCAGGAGTAACAAAATTATGACTTCAACCTCACTAATGGTAAAATGCGTGTACATGGAACAGGACCCTGTTATTTTTCCCCTGTTTTAACGATTTTGAGAACTTTCCATTCACTTTGTTCACTCTGATATAATTATTAGGGTTGCACTGATTTTGTTGGATTGGGGACTTGGTAGGGATTCCCTGAGTTTTCATTTATCGAAGGTACACGTACCAGTACAGTAATTACTAACTATGAGAAATAGTGGTGCTTTGTGTTATTTCTTAAAACTTTAAAATAACAAAAATGTAAATATAATGGCTCACTACAGCACAATCAAAACACAAATGGACATCCAACCAATAAGTTTTTGAGAGCAACAACAACTGCCAGTAAGTGGGTGAAATGTTACAATGTACATCTTTATTAAGATTTTGGTGCTTGCGATAGCAACCAAATTGTAGTTGTACATTCACCCAAGTGCTACTTAAAATATAGGTACAAAAGTTTGTACCTTGGATTCGTAGGTTACAGCTTAACGACTTGTTCATTTTCGTTAAACTTGTTGTTTTCATTCCTTTTCACTAAAAGGAGAGCTCAGTTTAACATGGTACTTGAATCTGATTGTTTAGGGTCCTGTATCAGTACTATAGACTCTGAACATTACAGGTACTATCTTTTATTTAAGGGCTCTCGTGGGAGCAGTATTGTTGTTGAACCAATAAACACTGGAACAGCGATTGTCAAGGCAAAACTTAAGGACAAAGCCTTTGCTGTAAGTGATTTTGTTCGAATAGCAGAACAATGTTATTACAGTAAAATCCTGCCCTACAACCTCCCCCTGTACGTGACTAACTTGTTACTGCAACATCATTTTTTTGCCCTTCCCTTATATTTTCAACTCCTAGTATTTGAAAAACCTTTAGTATGACCAACTCTCAAATGCAACCAGACTTTCGTGGCTTAGCCTGCGTAGCAGGCGCTTGGAAGTAGTAGGCGCAAGAAAAAACGGGTGCGCAAGAAGGAGACACGCGAGGGGAGAGGGAGTGCCTGCCCAGAAGGCCCACGAAAATTGTCTCCCACCCCCAACCTAATTACCTGGCAGCCGTTGCATGATGTCAAAAGTTTTGACAGAAAACAACTGACCTCGCACAAACAAAGCGTGCCGCCAAAAAGTGTTGTACATTTTATCCTCGGTCTAAATGTTTCTGTTATAAAGATCAGCTGGGTTATCTGATTATAGAGGGATGGAGCGATAAACTGATGGTTAACACAGCTTTAAATCGTTTTTAACCACGGGCACAATAAATACTTTTAGGAAAGAACAAAGTCAACATGGGTATCTTTTAAAGAATGCATGCTGTGTATTATAAAAAGTTGTTAAATGTTGTTCTCTGAGCTTACTTACCACAACTGTACAGACACCAACGATCACAGCGTACGTGGAAAATGACCATTGCTTTTACTGCGTTAAGTGGCAGCCATGTTTGGAGCAGACATTTCTCACTAAGCTGACCTAAACTTCAGAACACAAAGTGTACCGACACACTTTCTACTGCAGTAACGAGACATAAACAACAGACCTCAGGTCGACTCCGAACGGCGAATAATACAATAGTGAAAGGTTTTTTCAAATTCATGCCCCTGGTAAGTGTTTCGTTTCATCAATCTTTATCATAAAACTGTGAAAGGTTTGAACCCAGGAGTCATATCAAAAGGTTGAGTTTGATCGTCCGGGTGAACGTAGTCCTGAATAGGACTGTTGTTGACAGTGACTGACGTTTCGACAACCTGTGCGGTAGTCATCTTCAGAGTCAAAGTGAGTTGTGTCACGTCAGTTGATGGTATTATACTCTGGTTATTGATCTGATTGGTCAATTATGTCGCGATGTTATTGGTCGTCTGTCAGTTAAGCCGTGATGTTATTGGCTATGAAGACTGGTAATCAGTGATTGGTGCGTTTCGATCCGTCTATTGTCACAGTTAAACGGTCGTCTATTGTTAGTCAAATTGTCAGTTCTCCAGTTGTTCTCTCGTAGTTAGTTTTCCTTGATCTCGTCAATAAGTCGTTTGTACGGCGCTGGTAACTGTTGGCTACGGTTCAGTGGCATTTGTTCTAAGTTAGTAAACCAGCTTTCTAAAGTAAGACGTTGATAGTAGTCTGTAGAATACGTTATACATGTCGCAGAGTCCCAGTCAATTTGATGTTTCGTCTTTAAATGGTGCTCAGCAATGTGATTGTTGACGTCACCATTCCTCGTCGCGCGTTTGTGTTCGGTCAGTCGCGTGCTTAGGTTTCTGCCGGTTTCACCAATGATGGTGATGCGTTTCATCGACAACACAAGCCGGCAAGTTCTCCTGAGCAAAGAATATTTCTTCTGATCTTCATTGCAACGATTCAACAAATCTTTGTCTTCTGCCACTTCTGTTAATGCGTATCTGATGTCAGTTCTTTCCATCGTGAATACCGTTTGAACACTCCAAATTTTCTTTGAGATTACAGCCACATAGTCCCATTAAACCAGATTGAAGTGACCTCCGAGACCTGAACTTTGATTGTATACAATTTAGTGGTTTCAGGAGCTAGTGGTGTAATATAAGACCTTCACTACGTTGTCCATGTACTATTGATTGACAGTTCTCTCACCCCGTGCAGTACATTTTTCCCTCGGGAGCCTGTCGACCAACTGGAAATATCTGCACTCACAGAATGCGAGTTGAAATGATTTTCGGGGGCCTGCCGTGCAGGTGCTCCCTCACCCCTTGTGTCTCCCTTGCACTCGCCTGTTCTCTCTTTCGCCCTCTACTTCCAAGCGCCTGCTATGCAGGCTATTCGTGGCTTGTTTTGGTCGCTTAGACAGGGTCTCACCGTGTTAAATGTATTACGAAGTTAAACTTTTGCTTGCAATGTCATGTGTCCTAACTTGGATAAGACATCATGACCGTTCAAATAGCAAACCCACTGCAGTACTTAAAGATTTTCAGTGGTAACAGATTAAAGTGATGTGGGAGTATAGTTATTTTCTGACAAGTTTTTTGCCAATGTTTAGAATGTACCTCCAGCTCAAGTAAAGCTTATTGTACTGGATAATGTGATGTTGGTACCAGGACATGATATGTACATTCTTGTTAACACGTCAATCACATACAGCGTCATCAGATTGCGACAAGGCAGGACAGCAGGTTAGGTTTTTGTTGTCTAGTTACTGTAGTAATGCATAGCGGAACTCCACGCACGCAAGTAGAGCCCCATAGCTAAGAAAATTTGTTATCTATCCATGCAAAAAAATTTGGCAGTCACGTGACCATACGTCTGTCCTTCCATCAATCCGTCCATACCACAGGGAACCAATGTTAAATCTCACAATCATTTTCTAGCTAGTGTGGGAGCCTGCAACCTGATAGTGCACATCCATATTGTGGTCAATTGACAGCTGTCAAAACAGGGTATCTGCTGACCTGTGTCACAAGACTGTATCACAGGATCAGGTGTCGACCCATCAAGTTTGCATGTTTTTTTTTTAAGTTATCTGCTGACAAGTTACTGATTTTCAAATGATCGCAGGCTCAAGTGAAATTTTTTTCCATCCACAGGTCATAAGTTGTGTCTATAAGCCACGCTATTAAAGTTTTGATTTCAAACTGACTTCAGACTCGAAAATTCAGCTAGTTTTTACAGGCAGGGAAGGCAGTTGCTTTTGGCTTTTCTCACTGTGCTCACTTGTTGGTCATGCTCTACATCCCATTTTTATCTCTGATTGGTCAAAATTTGACAGGTGAATTCATGTCAAAAATCTATACTGCATCTGGAAACTTGTTTACTGATAGCTGAAGCTGACAGAGTTTTGTGTCATCTTATGATGTTATTAACTGTCTTTTTCCTCGTTTTCCCATGAACCAAAACTGACATTATATATTTCCAAAAAAGTCATTACTTAAAGCTTGTAGCACCATGAAGCACTCATAGTCAACAATAAGAATAAATTACAGTGGTAAGATGAAAATAAGCTTATGTGAATTATTAGTATGTACACAGTCTGTAAGAGTAACCCGTAACACATTAAATATCATTATCGTACACAATGTATTTGTCCAGTGCCTCCAAATAATTATAATGATTTCTGGTGTACATTCTTTTCTACATTCAGATTCATGGTTGTTTATCATTGTATAACCTTTAATGTTCATGTTACGCACGCAACAGATAAACACACACAGTGCAGATAAACTTGCGAAGAGTAGAATAATTATTGTTTTTGTTAAGTATAGTTCCTTTGTATTATACTCTGATTATATTTATTCTCGGCTGAGGAATTACTTTATATGCAGGGAGAAATGCAAAACTTGAAAATTAACTACGGAAAGTGGACATATTTATAATTTTGTGACTGAAAGTGCGTGAACCCCAATGTCTGTTTCAATGTGCGAATTGTAAACAACAGTTCTAGTTGCATTTCACCTAGGATTTCAGATCAAAGTTCCGCAATACACAGTGACGTGTTACATACTGATAACAACCGAAACAACTGAACAGCAGGGAAATTTATTTGATTTTCAATGCGATCGAATGTGACCTGTCAACTCCCCAATCAGTTCAGGCATTTCAAGCTCTGAACCAGAACGTGCTACACGTACATTACTTGCATGTGAGACAGTTTCCGGTAGCCTTATCGGGAGCTTCACCTTTAGCCCTGGCTAAATCTATATATCAGAATACTGCTATGGTTATTGAAAAAGTCCTGTTTTTTAATGAATATTTATGGAGTTTTCACCATCCTGTTTCGCTCACCTCTCACCTCTCTTTAACAGTTGTTCCAATGCCGTCTTCACAGTTTGAGTTTAAACTGAGCAATACCTCTGTGGCTCAACTAGATGTCAAGAAGTCAAGTGTGTTGGGTGTTAAGCTAGGCTACACAAAAGTAACTTTAGAGGACAAAAGTATCCTTTGTGATTTAAGTAAAGCTGAAGCTGTCAAATTCCGGTGTGTTAATGTCAATTGGTGGTTCCAGAAAATATCATACTTGTACTACAGAAGGCATCTCAGAACTTTGAAGGGGAGGGGAGGGGCCAGTGAACTGGAATTCCAAGTCAATGGTGGGCATCATTAGACTGCAATTTCAAAGGCTTGGGGGCAGGGGCTTTCAGCTCTAGATCTCCGTGTCAAGCAAGGGCTCTGATGGTATGTTGTATTGGCTGGAGTTGCAAAAGCCTAAGCCCCACTTACATTTGTTTTTTTTTTTAGTTTTCATTTGTCACTCAATGCCTTATGATCCCTACTGCTTGCAAACTCGTGTGATGGGTTAAAAGAAAAACTAAGTTATAAAAGCACAGTCAAGGCTGTTCACCATTCTTTTAAGAAATAATATTTATGTGCGTGCTTATTCGATAACCTGAAACCAGTGAAAGGCACTTAACGTTAGCAATCAAAACGTATGTCAAAGAAGCAAGAAGTGTGTTGGGACTTGTTTTACGGTGTTTTTCAAGAATGTCCCCCTTTCTACCACTTTCCAAATCATGGCCTTTGGCTGATTAAGAAAGGAAGACGAAGAGCTTGTTTGATCAGGTCTTTGCATTGGTCTTTCAGAAATATTAATGCAAGTTTATTTTGAAGGGAGTGAATAGATAAAAAGGTGGTTGGAAGTGAGAGATGTTGGAAGAAAAAACGGAAATTCCTGAGGAGTTTGAAAATTTATAGAATTCCAAAGGCATGAAGTTAGAACAGTTTGGAATTACAAAGGCAAGGGAGGATTGAGCCTTTTCGAAGTTCCAATAGCAGGGGAGATAATAGATGAAGATATCCTCTTTGGTGTGTGTATGTGTGTATGTTCTGCCCACAGGAAGGACCTTCCTTATAGTTCCTTATCTAAGGCACGCCTCTTGACTGCTACGTAAAAGGCCGCCATCCTTCACTTTATCCAGCATTCCCACTCGAGGTCTTCAAGGTGGCCTCTTTCCTATTATTATCCCCTTAATAACCAATCGGGTAACATCACCATTCCGTAGGGTATTACCAAGCCAGACTGTCGTCTGTTGATTACAGAAATGTACGCCCTCTCCTTAACGACGCACCTCAATACTTCTTCGTTACAGACTTTGTCAGACTAGGAAATGTTTTTAGACCTTTCTCCAAACTAGGCCACCTCTCACAGCTCTCCAGCCTTCGCATGTCCTTTTTCTTCAAGTTCCACTATTGGGCTCCATACAGAAGAGTGCTCCAAGTGACAGTCCATATAATTCTCTTCTTCAGGCAATTAGGCTGAAGGCTTTTGTCATCAGTTCTTTTCTTTCAGTAAATGTGTTCATTGCTAGGGCTATTCTCGATCTAAAGTCCTCACAGGATCCATCCTAAGTGATAAGGCTCCCAAGACAGTTAAGATGCGGTTCTTGGCTTAATTGTTTACCCTGAAGAAAGATCATGAATTACACACGAGGCATCTTACTGGTTTTCATCACCTTAGTCTTTTTAACATTGATCTTCATACCATATTCCTCTGTGGTCTCCTGTATTTTATCCATCATAAGTTGCAGACCTTTAACTGAGCTGGCTAAGGTTACGTGATCATCCGCCAAGAGCTCTGTCTTAATGAGATGGCCTCCCACTCGAATGCCTTCATTCACACCACTTAAAGCATCTCTCAACATAGCTTTGCCATGGCCGTTCACTGCTGAGTCTGATAAGCCATCTTTCACCCTGACTCTCACACTTTGCCCCATAAAAGCCTTTCAATCAGCCATCGGTCATGCCAGTCAACTCCTATGGATTTCAAAACTTCCAGGAGCTTCACCCAATTTACTCTGTTGAAGGCCTTTTCCTTGTCTACAAAACACACATACACATCCTGTTCGTGGTCGATACAGCTTTCACTGACTAGTCTCACAACTGCAATAGCTTCTCTTGTGCCAACTCCTTTCCTAAAACTGAAACTGGTTGATACCAAGGAGCGCCTCTACCTTAGACTTCATTCTACTTGTCAACAGGCAAAGAATAACTTAAGATGCATGCACTTAGAGAGTAAGACTCTGGTGAAGGGTGTGGATATTTTCTCGAAAAACTTCCTCTGTTCCGCTTGCTGTTTAAATGTTTTGATTTTACAAGGAATTTTTGGTGTAGACATTCTCCATTTTGTGTTTTTTTAGTATGCTTTAGTACTTCCTACCTTTTCATGGCCATCTTGAATTATGTCGTTGGCATACCATGGTCACATGCTAGCCAACAAAAAAAACTCATATTCAGCAAGATCTGTCTTTCTGTCTAAAGAACAGCTTTACCATCAAACCCAAGATACTGTCGAGAATTTGTGAGGAATGAATAATTGTAAAGACTGGTACGAGAAAACAAATCAACAACAACAACAACAACAGTTTATTCAGTTGTCAAATGAGTTAGGTCTTATGTTACCCACAATTAGCGGAGCTATTCTAGGTGGGGTTCAATGCAATAATTGTCTCCTATAAAGTCGGCAAAAGAACGTAAGTAAAGAGAAAGCAAAAATAGAATGAAATAAATAAATAAATAAAAGCTAGTACCTATAGATATAAGGAAGGAAAACACTTTAACTGAATAAGGAGTTCAGGTAGGAACTGGTAATGGTACTGATATCAACATACACCTGTTTAGTCTCCAAAACCTTGATCAGTAATTTATGTAATTTACGCTTGACAGGGTCTTTGCGCTGTTCACGTAACGTAATCTATTACTACTAGTTCACAACTGCATCACTAAATGGAGGTTGGGTGCCTGGAGTTTCCAGGGACTTCTACTTTTGGCAGCCAGCCACAACACCACCATATACCTTAACAGAAGAGTGATGCAAACAATCATCCAAGTGAGAACAAAAACACAACAAAGTTTGCTCATTATTAGGCTGCATGGATTCATTTGGACTGATGTAGCCATCTAAAGTACAAAAGTTGATAACTCGACGCTTCACAGGAAGATACACTTAATGAGTCAATGGAGCCAGACCATCCATGGGATAAAATTTTCCTTTGAGTTAAACTACAGGTAGCTGGGCCAAAAGCAAAGAAGTCACTGGCATTGCTACTGGAGAGACATGGGGAGCTTGCTGATAGAACCACTGAAATTGAAAATGAGAAAGGGCATCAGCCTTGGAATTGGATTTCCTGGCCACATGAGGAGCAGTAAAAACGAAGGAGTACTGAGTTGCCAACTAGGAGAGGTTCCCAACCAGCACCATCAAGTTTGAATCTCATGACGTACGCGACTGCAACACTTTGACCACTGCTATATTGTGCAGGACACTGATCACCCCACACAGGTGCGGCCGTGGCTATAGGAAAAAGGTCCTAGTAGGCAATGGATAGAGGGATCTGCAAAGTAGACCAGTTCCCCACAAACCATTCTGTACCCAAACTAGCCCCATATCCAACAGAGCCTGGAGCATCTGAGGGGAGTTGACGATCTGGCACTAAGGCCAGTTGCTAACTGACAAGTAATTACAGCTAGAGGACCTTATAGCTCAAGTTGGCTAGTAATGAGAAATTAGTTCAGATAATATAAGCACAAGACTTTCCATTTAACACTTTAAATGTCATCAAAAGCATTTTGAAACTTGTACGTTTGTGAACCGGAAGCCAGTGCCAGTTATGAAGTACAGGGGTGACATGTTCATGTTTCTTAGGTCTAGTTACCAGGCTTGCTGCAGTGGTAGTCAAATTTGACTGTAGTAAAGGCATGAGCTGCCCTTTCACAATCCGATTGGGACAGAAATCTACGATTTCTTCTTGTGTTTTTAATGGCAAGCAAGGCTGACTTGCAGATGTTATTAACGTCACGTCCAACTGTAGCTGATCTCTACCACCCTTTTTGTGCCTGGGGCAACAAATAAGTATGGGGCTTATGTTATTAAACATGTAAATTCTCTGCTACGAGGTTAGCTAACTCCACAAAAACGTCACTAGTTATTTTGGCAACTAGTTTCCGGGGTATAAGCGCATAGTTAGAGCCGAGTACGAAGGCTTTTCTGACTGAGGGTGAATTGGTTGAGCTGTTGGTCAACAGCAACCAAGGAAAATGAAAAATGGCCAAAAGACATTTCTCCCCTTTAATTAAGTTCGTGAGTATGTAATTAAAAATGTAATCTTTTATTAGACACTTTTTTTTGTTTTTTTTGTATTTTTGTATTTTTGTATGTGTGGTTATGTTTTTGTTTTTTATTTCAGAGCGTACTGTAAATATTAAGTGTTAATCTCTCTTTTATCTACATAATTAAGTATTAATTAATTCTTTGTAAAATAAGCCTCATTCGGCAATTGCGCGGCTGTTTTGTGGCTGTAATGTATATAATTGTGAAATGTAGATAATTGTAAGTATGTCTGTTATTGCGGTTGTTTAGAACTTTGTAATTATTTTCTTTTTCAGTAGTTCTTTGTAATTATAGTAATAAATGTCTTGAATAAAAAGTAAAAAATAAAAAAAAAAACAGCAACCAAGAAGAGACAGACAAAGATGGCATAGACGGGTGGCTGGGTAGCAGGGGAGACCGTGGGGTTGGCAATAATTAGAATTTTGTGGAGGGAAAAGAAGACACTATCATGTTACCTGTGGCAGAGGACGAGCTCGGAGGAGTTGAATTCGCCATGTTTGCTGAGGTCACACTAACGGTGGGAGAAACTTCCACTGGCCTGCTTGAAAAAGTGGCTGCTACATTTGCCTAAAACTCGGCTAAAATTTGCAGAAGCAATTGTTGGAACGCTAACATAACAAGGAAATGTTACCTTGACACAATATTCAGATATGTTGCACATTCACAGTGTTCATCAACCTGCTGCTGGCGTTTATGTGGTTGAACCAGCATTCTTAGGTTTGTAACAACTATAGTAGTACAGGGGGTTTACTCTAGCAGATCTTACTGGGCACTTCAGGGGTTGGCAAGTCGTCTTTATTAAGACAGTTATCTGTGAGGAAATTGTGGAACAGCGAGGATTTAATATTGGTATATATTTTTTAAAGTTAAGTGTTATCTAAACAATTGCCAGTATGATCAGAATTATTGAGATCTCTTTGCCTTGTCATGTAACATTAATTAGTAATGTTAAATTAAAAGGGAAGCAAATTCTTGAACTTTTGTTACTTCACTAAGAACCAGCATTCCGTACTGTAACCAGCCATTTAAGCATAGCAGCAATTTAAATCGGCATTATGTATGTTTTTCTTTTTTATGTGAATATGAAGTATTTTTCGCCTCCAACTTTACATTATCAAAGTACATAGAATTATAACTATATCCACTTTTCAGGTTTTAGCATCACTCCACACTCCGACTGGTTTCTTGAAGTTGGTGTTGAATATGATGTGTCTGTGCAACTTTACACATACGAGAATCGCAAGATCTATATCACAGATGTAAGTACAGCCTGACATTTGCTCCTCTATTAGCTGCTTTAGCCTGGTTGCTCCGTTTCATGCATTTACATGTATATTTAAAAGTCAATTAGCTGGAAGCAGTTAGTGGGCCATTCCAAGCGTGGTGGAAGAGATGAACCCTTAAGGACCAAGAAACAAATGCACCTTGTGGTCAGGACATGTCTCATACCCTCTGAACAGTTTGCTGCTTGACTACGCTGCTAGGGCTTTCGTGTAAAATGTCACTTTCCCTGAGTAATAAATTATCAGTAAGCAATTATTTTATTTCTTGTTAATGTGCCTTCTTGGATGCTGAATTTAAAATTTGAAGCGGAAGACTTGGCTACTAAAAGATGAAACTTCGAGAATTCTGTATTTCACACAATTCTTACACAAGCCTGGATTTTTAAATCAATTTTAAGAACTTGACTAATGTGCAGTGCAAGATGTTATGTCCTGATTTTAGTTCTATTTCTTTTGATTAATTAGAATATTCAGATTGTAGCTTCCTTTGATGATGCATACTTCAAAGAATTGTGGTCATCAAAAAATGGCTCATTCTACCATGTTAAAACACTTCAGAAAGGAAAAACAGTACTGACTGCTCTTCTCACAAGTATTAAGGTAAGATCCAGTGCCTTTCATTCCTCATATTGTTCTTGTTTACAATGTCTGCCAGGACCAAACGGCCATGATAGTGAATGAAACTATCATCAACTATCATTTACTATCAATGACATTAACAATCACTGACTATGTATATTATATTTAATATTAATATTAAAGGCCGATCCATAAATGTTAGAGGTTTAGACAAATCACAAAAATGGAGTATAACCTATGGAACGATGATTTTGAAGTATCAAAAGTAGAAACTGTTCGACATGGCAGACATTTCATAAAATACTTGGGGCCTCTCACTTGGTCAAAGCTTCCCGAAATGTAAGAACTGCCTAAAGTCTAGATTCATTCCCCAGCTTCAGCAAATAAGCCTCAGAGCTCTCTAGTTTTGATTTCTGCACATTTGAAGACAGTCGTGACCATACATTGCGCTGCACAAAATCCTGCTCAAATTTAACCTTAAAATGCTATGCTAAAACATTTATGAAAGTTGTCACCTACATGTAAGTAGTGTAAGAGTATTGACAGACGATCTCCCATCTAAACTAAGTGGCCGTGTCTATTAAGAGAAAATGACATTCCTAGATATGATCTGAGGAGTCCGGAATTGACAGGAAGGATCTTGTAAACGTGATTTTGTTAGGAGCCCCCTGGCTGAAAGTGCTGATTGATGATGATGATTTCCTTTCTGAAAGGGTGCTCTTACCAAGAAACTGAGTAATCAGAAGTATACTGCAAATACAGTTAGAGCTACAAGAATGGATGAAAGATGATAATCATTATTGAGGAATCTTTATTGTGATAATCTTTATTGTGGGACTAATTAAACTAACTTCACATAACAAAAAACACGAAATAAGAAACAAATACCACGAACTCTTGTGGCTCAGTTAAATCATTCTTGCTGAAAAACGGCATTCAAACATGTAACCAGCTACCTATAAATAGGTTCAGGCCACCTTAAATTAAGTTTTATTCATTTTTTCTTGAAGGTTATCGAAACAAAAATGTACTTCTGTGCTATACCATGGTTCGTCTTAAGAGCAATTATGATAATCTTGAATTCAATACCCTTACTACATAACATTTGGCGACACTTTAATTAAGCGATTTTTTTCGAAAAATCGCTAAATTTAAATGCACCAAAATTAAGTGTCGCTAAATTAAAGTGAGTACAATATGAAATTCCGCCATCTGGTTAGTTTCATACACATGCTATTTGACGGTCGCTTGTGACGTGTATCATTAACTTTAAGTAAAAGTGTACCTTAAATATGAATGAGGACAGCATTAAGATATGACATTACAGTTGCAGTTTCGTTTGTTTCGTTCAAAATTAAGTTTCAGAACGTTGTATGTTTTTGATTTAAATGAAGCCATTGATGTTTGTGATTTTATCACATAAATGTTCTATGGCCGTCGTAAAAGTTTTGAATAACTTAATTCGCCAAAGTTTCAGTTCGTGAAATCGCTAAAATTAAGTGACTTATGTTCCAAAATTTACGAAAAATCGCTAAATGAACATGTCGCTAAAATTTCACGTAATAAGATAATTCTAAGGCTGCGTGCAAACATACGCACAATTCCCAACCTTGTTGCTCCAACAATGTTGGGAGTTGTTGCGTGCGTGTTGGCAGTGGTGTGCAAACGGATGCAACAACTCCCAACAATGTTGGGACCTGCATTGCATCGTGGGAAGGATAAACCCATAAGTCTTTGTAAACCATGCATAATGAGCGTGTGTGGCGCCAACAATGTTGGAAGAGCTGTGCAAACGGATCCAACATTGTTGCGCTACGCTTCGGCGATCATGGAACAAAAGAAATTTTGGGAGTTGTTGGCAGAAACGTTTGACCGGTTTCAAACTTAATGCAACAACACGCAACAACAACATGCAGCAGGCTGTGCAAACGGACGCAACATGTAACATCCAACAATGTTGGGAGTTGTTGGCCAACAATGTTGCGTCCGTTTGCACGGGGCTTAAGCCTCTACATATAACTGGTAACCAACGTAAAAAATCTTTGTGGTATTATGACAGAACTCTTCTGGCTTTGTTCCAAACAGGCTGAACTCTTTCTTTTGAATTGCTAGGCTGAACTCTTTTTCTTTTGAATTATAACCCAGTTTGAATAGTCTAAAATTCATAGCTGGGTTAGCAGTATTGTGTCCTTGATGTTATTTCAGTATTATTGTTGTTTCTTCAATACATGGTAGATACTTGGAACAGATACCATCCATACATTTGAGCATCCAATCTCAGGACAGCAGGAAGCTGAGATTTTTGACCCAGTGGTTGTTAACCCTGAGATTGTACTTTTCCCATGGTATCCTGCACCTCAACAGAATGTTGCTGCTCCCAATCAATACCAGTTTTTGTTGCAGGTAATAATAATAGGATGTAAGATTGTTATTTTAGCCAGTTTTTAATTATAATTTGCCTCAAAATAATTGGATGTAAGGTTCTTACGCTCACTCAGTTTTCAGTCAGACCCACGTTTGTTTATCACCATGTAAGAAATTGTAAATTAGTTCATTATCCAGTAATAGGCTTTATTTTAGGTGACATGATGTTATGTTTGTGAAATTTTCACCCCTTTATTGCAATTATTCCCTTGAATTGCTTTCCAGTTTGGGATTTTTTCTGGTAACTTTTAGGTTCATTTTTGGACTGCCCTCTCAGGTTTTTTAAATTTTAAAATCCCACAGAATCTTGCATGTTCCCTCTCCACCTTCACTGTCTTGTCCAGAATTCCGTTCTTACCACTTCTCAGAAGTGTATCATTGTTTCAACCTTGACATGTCGGTTTTTGTGGTGTATCTGTGCTAATATCTTAGCACACTGTCAATCACGCACTGTTTGCTTCCAATATCAGAAGTTTCAGCCAAATGTGTTAGCAAAAGTCTTCCTAGGTGCAATTTTCTCTGAATGATAGGCTACACGTAAGCGCTAATTTCGTAGAAAAAATGTTTACGACCAGTATATATTGCCGATTGAAATGTGTAGACTTAGGAATAAAAGTAAGTGAAAAGATTTTAACACAACGTTTCGATGTAACCATGATATCATTATCAAGTGAGAAGATAAAAAACTAAAATCCGACTTAATTTATACAATTTAGAGGGAAAAAATAAAGTAGAGAACAAAAGTAAAATGTTTTTGCATGCAAGTTAAAATATGTTAAAGTAATAGTTTTGCATGGTTGGATTCTGTTTATGTGATATATATTTTTGTATGGAATCTCATTGTGTGATATCTTTAGGTCTTTTTAAAGTTTTGTAACCATAGCATTAAAACCCAAAACGTTATGACGAAAAGTTCTTCGTAACTCAATGTACCGGTGTTAATAATGGAGCCATCTTAACCAATATCATCTTCTTATTGTTGATTATAAAAAAAATGTCCTTTCAGAGTAACTATGTCTTTTATGTAACTCTCTCTTTTACACCAAAGGTCTCATGACCCGTGGACACACGCTGATACTGTCTTGTTCCTACACACTGTAACTCATGTAGAAGTAAAAACAATTCCATGCTAGGTTCTATCAGTCAGTCCTATGTAATAATTATACTTGCAATCCTTATTATTTTTCAGCCATCAGGTGGCAGTGGGATGTACATGTGGTCATCATCAAATACCTCTGTGGCTACAGTTAGCACCAAGGGTGTTGTCATGACAACTAGTGCAGTTGGATACTCCCTGGTCCGTGCAGCTGACATGAAAAATCCAGCAAATTTTGATACTACAGAGGTGGGTATTATTGGTCCTACAGAATGTGTGGCTTTGGAAAGAAAGGACATTAGATTGGTTGTTTCACTTATTTGTTTGCACTCTAGCACTCTGACAGAGAAAAATATGTATACTTGACCAGCCTTTGCACATTTGGTATACTATACAGTATGTTTATATGTGAGCTATTCTTGTGGTATGTGGTCTTAAACATAAAAAATGGTCTTCTCCAGGTTTATGTTCTTCAGCCAAAGAAAATGGAGTTTATCCCTGCAGTTGTTGAGGCACTGGTTGGCTCCTCCATCTCGCTTCCGTTGGCTGTGGCTTCTTGTATTTACTCAGGTACTTTATTAACAAGTAAAGACTTAAACATTTTGCAGCAGTTTTGCTTGGGTAGACTAGTCCATAGACCTGCAAAATAATTATTATTGGGAACTTTTATAAAGTAATTTGTTAATTGAGGTAAAGGTAAAGTCTGCATACATGCCAAATAGCCGATCATGCATATCCGGCTTTCTGTTGCATAAAGGCAGTATTAGTAATGCTACTCCACCTGAATGGGATGCTAGTTCATCCCAGGGTACCCCCAGCAGTATATCACTAGTACCAATTTATACAGCTGGGTGAAGAGAAACAAAGTGGAGGAAAATTTCTGTCGAAGAAAAGAACGCAACTTCAAGGCTTCAGCTTGGGCCTCCAGTTCTAAAATTCGAGGTGTCAACTGTTCAGCCACCATGCCTGCTCCTAACAAACCAAATTGAGGTGTATTTTTGCAATCCAAGCCATTTGTAAACATCATTTCTTTTTTACATGCAACTTTGCATTACATGTTGCGTAATTCCATGCATGAATCATTGTATCATAATCGTGTCTTCCGGCTTAATACTGCTTGATTTCTTGAGACCATCCGAATTCACAGTCTTTCGCAGTGTCACCCTGCCTTTTGAATGGAACATATTGGACGACATGTTCGGGTCCTAAATTCCCAATATTTCTGGGTGAAAATGTCGCAGGTTCAGCAATCCTCCATCTCAACATGGGAAGCTATTTGGGCTCAATGAGTCTTTTACCACTTTCAGAGAATATGTATTGGACATACGGTCAGCTAAAGGCAGAGGACCCTCCTTTCACCCTAGCTTTTGTTGTAAGTCAAGCCACCCCTTTTGGAGCTCGGCATACTGGTCAAAAGCACCATTGAAGCACAGGCCCACTACACTGCCACTTCCAACAAGATCTACAAACCCCCTGGTAGACCTATGTCACGCATTCGTTTATATTGCTACTTCTGCAGACACCCCTGTTCCCAAGAGAAATTGCCCCCGAGGACAAGCCTGCAGCTTCTGCCATAAAACCAGCCACTTTGTTATGTTATGTCAACGAGCAGCCAAGGGCGGTCAAGCGTCAAGAACACCTACCCCCAAAACCTGACCTGACAGCCACTAGACAGAAGCATGTTATGAAACAAGGCCTGGAATCCAATACGAACACTGCTTTTCATTGCTTTATCCCTACCCCATCTCTGCCTTCCTCAGAAAAAGGGCACTTCATCCTACTCACTCTGACAAGCCCTGACTCTAAGAGCCACACAGATATTCCCTTCCCAGGAGCCTCATGCAACACCTACCCTCAAACCCTTGGCAAACACACCTTGGGCCAACCTGCCACCAGGTAAATCAGTGATAATGCCATATACCAGTCCACCAATCAAAACGATCAGCCAGACCACCTTTTATATTTCGAGGGAAACCATTACACGTGCCCTGACAATTCAAGCACTTGACACAGACCAGCCTGCTCTGTTGAGAATGGAGGCGAACAAAAAACTTGGACTACTGACCTTGAATGCAAACTTCACATGGAAACCCCCCCGGTTTCCATCATGCACCCTTCGCACAACGAGAACTCAACTGCTAGCCCACAGCCCAGTGCCCTTAGATACCTCCACAGACAAATGGCCAAAGCCTGCGACGTTGAGCATGAAATTCATATCACAACACTGCACCTTACTTTTTTAAGGCCTTAGCATCCTCAGACCACCTGTCGACTTTAATATGGATCCTGTTGTCAAACCAATGCATGCCCCCATCCACCGCCAGCTCATATGCAAAATCAAGGTTACCCATGACACTTACAAATCCACAGGCCAGTTTGTATTAGCTTTTGAACCCACTGCTTGGATATGAAACGAGCATGTTGGTTCGAGAATGTGACCACAACACCAAGCCAGGTAAGACATCCATGTGTTTGGACCCCTCCAAGACCCTCAACGAAGCTATTCAGGAACAAAAATACTCACCCTTGAGGAGAACCTACACAAGTTACATTTAATGAATTGCTTGACCATCATTGATACCATTAGAGCATTCCAAAACTTTTACGGTCATCTCTCACGACCACTATGTTTATACCATGGGGCTGCTACCCTGGACAAGGCTGCCATTTGGATTATCATCTGTCTCAGAAGAATGGCAGGCCATGATACATCTGGTTCTGGAAGGCCTTCCAGTCATCAGCATTGCTGAAAAATCCTAGTCCCGGGAGCTGCGGTCCCACTTACAAAGAAGCACAAGTTGACCAACTCATCCAAGGATCCATAGTAGTATTTCTTTTTTCAAAGTCGTCAGCGGTGCAAGTATGTCGAAAAATATATGCCAGGAAGCAGTGTTGACTTGAGACATGAGTATGGCAATGTTGAGTTTGGAACAACGAAATTGGTGTCTGAAGAGTGTCCTTATTTAAGGAAGTTATTATTTTAAATGCAGGAGTATGTTAGGATCAAAACTAGGGGGTGGGAATCGCACTTGCCTTCAGGGGATTTGAGGACTTTTTATGGATCTTGGTTGACTCGAAGTGCAAGTCTCCGCAAATAAATTATCGCTTTCAAGAACAATTCGATTGTGGCTGGAGGCTTCTTGGCAAACTTTGCAGAGCGTAACACTAGTTTCTTCAGTTTTTGTGGCTTGCGGAAAGCTCAACCCCAGGTAAAGTCTTCAATGTCAAATAAAAGAATTCTCCAAAGTTGGTCTTCCGTTAGGCCAGCTTTTGAGTTATCATACTCGTCCAAACGATGTAATGGTTGTCTCCGATGACCTGGTGACTGCTTATATGGATCCCTGGCTGCTCGTCACTATGCTGGATCATTAGGGACCTTAAGCAAGGACGGCGACGACGGCAGTGAAAACGTCGGTGAAAAAATGAATTTGCGTTCTTTCAAAGTTAATCACGTCTTTTGACCTGTTCAATATGTCAAAAAAATGCAGGCGACTTTTTGCTGAAGTTGAATTCTTAAGGATTTCATTCAGGTTCAAAAAGAGGAAGGAAAATTCGTCGTCGTATGTCCACATCCTCCATAAAACGGCAAATTAGGAAGTTTCATGTCGTAGTCGTGCAGCTGACGTCAAAGAAATGTACTAAAAAGCGTGATACACGTGAAGAGCTGTTGTTTTGATCGTTAAACCTATTGTTTTTTGAAGTCGTCGTTGTGGTCGTCGTCGTAGTTGCTTAAGCTCCCTATTTTCCGAAAAGCCAAACAACGTTTTTAAGATGAAATTCCTTGTTTGCAAAGCCACTTTCATGAGACTCCTCATCACTACCAAAGGTTTCAAATCCAACCCTACCATTGTCAATCCCATTCTCAACATGCATTCCCAATGGACAAACCAGACATCCACAGATTTCTTGTCAATCCCATTCTTAACATGCAATCCCAATGGACAAACCAGACATCCACAGATTTCTTGGAGCAATTAACTACTTAGGCGAATTCTGGAGGCTCCAGTGGTACTTCAAGTGGATTCCTCTGACTATGGTATGGAATCAGTTCCACTACAACCCACCGAAATTCTCCCTGATAACACCATCATGAGTGTTCCTTGTCGCCTGTGGCTTACGGCTCCACAAACCTCACCCCCACTGAGAAACGATCCACACAAATTAAAAAGGAATGTCTTGCTAACGTGAAATTCTTGAACAAGTTTGACCATTGGTTGCTCGGCAAATCAGGTATCCCCCAACCACTTCAGTCCATCTTCCAAAAGGATCTAGCAGTCGCACCCAAGCACCTTCAAAAAGTGATGCTCTTCCCATAACACTACACCTCTAAGGCCGTCTACAAACGAAGCTCGTCCGACACATTGAGACACTTGGCCGACACATCGAGTGCACCTTGCCAGCATTGTGACAATGCTATATTTGTTAGATTAGACACTGCGGTTGTCAAAGTAAGAAAAATAAGACACAGACAAGAAATTAAACATCGCAAACTTCACACTTTTTGGTGAAGTCCCGACTGACTGAGTTAGGTCAAGAAATACCGTAAAACAACCATAGTTTTGAAACTTTTCGAAAGTGGAAGGTAAAGCAATGTTCATGGAAAATTAGAGAAGGTCATGGAAATGGTAATTGGAAGTTATGGATTTTGAAGAGCTTAATAGAGTACGAACTCTGATCACAGTCGACCACTACATCGATTTTTACGAACTGGACCAGCTCTTCAACACCCAGTCCTCCACAGTGATTAATCAAACCAAAGCACACTTTGCCCACCACGGTGTTTCAGTTCCTCACTTCACATATAATGGTCCTCAATTCAATACACATGAGTACAAGCACTTTGCCAGCAGATGTGGTGTTGAACCCATCACTACTTCCCCCAACTTATCCTAAAGCAATGGCAAAACAGAAACAGTCACGCACGCTAAGTCTCTTACCAAGAAATCTGACAACGCCTACCTGGCACTTCTAAACATACTCAACACCCCTCTTTGTAGCCTCAACTTTTCACCCACACAGCGATTAATGAGTAGACAACCATTTTGCAATACCTACACCAGCAGACCTGGTCAAGCTTGAAACTCTGGATCCCCCCTGCCTTTGCTGCACCAAAACTCCTTCAGAGCGACAAAAAAGTCAAGTATTGCCTAATTTCATACCGCGCGGGAGCCTGGCACAACAGGATTTTCCCAGACTTGTTAAATTCCTGATTCAAAATGGCTTCCAAAATAGAGGTAAAGCAAAGGTCACTGCGTGCAGTTGAAACGATATTAAGAGCCGTATTACTCCAGGAAGTTAATATTCTACAGCAAAGAACAGTTGTTTTACTGCTATAAAGAACTTCGAGAGAAAAACTTCGAGAAAAGAAAGGTCTAATCGGCGACTTTCGGTACTTGGAAGTATGGGAAGGATTCCCTAATTGTTCGACAAAAAATTTGAACAAAGAACCGTCGCGTTTAGCTTTTATTACGGCGCTGGATCCGACCGAATATTGGGGAATGATAAGAGAGTGCGTGTTCCCTTTTTTTACAAACTGTAAAATACAGACTACCAAAGAAGCGAAACACGCCAGAGTGACCCTGAGTGAAAGGGCTGCGTACGGTCTCATTAAAAAATCCTGAAGATCAGACCAGAGACAATTCTCACTGAACAATAGATAAAAGCAAGTATACTTCAGTCTTATAAGAGAGGCATTTCTCGTCCAGTAACACCCTGTAACTGTGCGTTTCCTGTGACCAGACCTCATGCATTGAGCAATGTCATGATGCACAAGCAATTTTTGTTCAGGGGATAAATTGTGTATAGTTTATTTGTGAGGCCCCTGCGTTCGATTCTGTACCTTCCAGTTACATTGCAGTTCTAGTAATTTAGACACTACTCAAGACATGAATAAATTCATTGATAAAATGTCAAATGGCAATGGCTTACAAGGGCTCACTTGTTGAGCTGCCTCTTTTTGGAACTTATTGGGTCTACGAGCATGTTTACAACTTGACAATCACCCTGTAATCCAATCAAGAATGTCACGTCCATCTGCCTTTTGGTTAGCATGCACTGAGTATAGACTAGTCCCTTATTGTCCTGCATGTGGTTTAAGAACACTAGGTTTAACCTACATAACGCCACAAAGTTCACTACACTCAGTACCTTTCACGGACATTTCCCTTTTCCGCTACGGGAATAATCCAGGTAAGCCCTTCTGTACTGTCCTTTTAAGTTTTGCTCCAGCATTCTTAGGTTACGATCGGAACGTACACAATCACATCTGTGTTCTTGCCTGCAATGATCCTCTACTTTACAGATGCGGGTAGAATTAAACAAAGGATCCTTTGCTATACAAAATTTATAATCATCTTTGGTTCGAACGACCTGTTCATCGAACAATTGCTTGCACTTGCTGAGTATCGGCTCCTTCAGGTTAGCTTCAGCGCATGGCAGAAATACTGCATCCTTTCCTTACTAAGCGTAGGCAGATTCTCCGAGGGAACATTTATCAATATTTCTTCGAAAAAGAATGCTTTCCTTCGAGTTTCGACTACCCTTCTTCCTTTTGACTATCCGCCACTTTGAGACTGGACTTTTTAAAAAGTCTGGGAAAATCCTGTAGTGCCATACCACAGCGCGGTATGACATTAGTCAATGACAAACTCAATGTGTTGTCCCTTGGCTCACATGCTTACGCAAGCCATGCCCTTCCCGATCAGGTACTCCATGGTTGTTTGGTTGGACAGTAGAAAGCCAAAACACCCGATCGTACCGCATCGACGCTGGCAGCCGTTGAATCCGTCAAAACCATCACCCTTCCCTACAAGACGTGTAACGCATAATTATTTAAGCATCTACTAGCCCGCGAGTCATTTCAACTAGCCCCAAAACCCTTTTGAATTAGCAGGATTGATTACAATCTTACAATTTGAATTTCCGAAAAAAACAGCACTTGCCCGTTTGGCAAGTTAAGAACAAAAATCACTAGGCCGATAGCAAAATCCACTCACGCTGGACTCATGTCTCTTATTTATGTCATGTCATGTCTCTTAGTCCTCATTACTTTGTTAATTTCTGTTTGCATTTTTCCCACAGAGTGTCAAGAGTTTCATGTATTCACTGACTGCCGATCACTGCCTGTGACATACACATTTTCAGACCCCTCTATTTTTAAACTGGTGGAAGATAACAGTAAGCAGTGTTATCTTTATGTTTTAGAGTTTCATAGTTTGCAGGAAAAGTGGTTAAAACAATATATAAAAAACAGTACATATGATATGTATTGGAACGTAAGATGTCAGGTAGCAACTTGTCTGAAAGGATTTTTGAACCAACCTCAAAAAAAATTAATAGGAATAGTCCGTAAGCTGTGCTTCCTCCCCCCCCGACTTGCACGGTTCATCAAAACCGCTAGGAGTGATGAACATTTAATATTTCCCTAGAGTTGCACTGCCTAATCAAACATTTGCTCATAAAAACGAAGGAAATGATCAAGAGGTTCACGACAGAGCTCGCGACAAATAGTTAACAAAATTATTTCACTTTACCAGTGCCATAGGAAATGCCGTAAGTGGCAGCAATAGAGTAAATCAAATGACGGTGTGACAGCTTTGTGAGGTAGAAGTGGGTCACCCTCCAGGAATTTTTTATTTGGGACTCCCTGAGAAAATTAACTTATTTCAGTGCATTTTGAGCAAGCATGGAACATGAGGATGGCATTTCCCCCTAACATTTTCATCTGTTTCATATTATACGGTAAATTGCTGTTTATTAGCCCCCCAGGATACGTGTCCCCCAGTTATAGGACTATCTTACCTGTAAACAAAAAAGAATACATCCGATTACAAGCTTTCCCCGGATAAAAGATCCCCTCCAAATGTATCGAAACGATTTATTATGCCGTTTTGAAGGTTAGTCATAAACCAGTGATTTCAAAAGGTAATTCAATCAGCACTTCTGTAGCTTGTTTCCAGGCGCTCTCTCTGTTCCAGTTATAAGCCTAAAACCCCTTAAGAAGATGTAATAGGCCCAGGGCTTATAAGAGAAACAAATTGTTGGTTTTCACATGACGTCACTAAACTACAAAACTACAAAACTATCTATCCTACGGAGATTTTACTTTCACGATGTATTAGAACAGCTGAAATCTAAATTTCATACAAATTTTCGCTTCAAAAGGGTTCTTGGTTTTGTGATAGAGTACGCGTGACGCGGCATTTACATGACGGCCAAGAGAGCTGTCATGTAGGTTTAAAAAATGACTTATTTCGGGAATTTTGCTATCTATATTAGAAAAAAGTATCAACTTTAATGTTTATGAGTCCCTCGAAGAATGAATTCACGCTTTTGTAGCAAAACTCGGTAACAGATGTTTCTGTTGGCTTTCGTCCGCCATGTTGGTGCTCATCCGGAAGGGCACCAGCATGGCGTCTCCACACAAATCTCTATAAATTTGGGTAAAACATTTTTTCGGATATCTCGTATACGAAATATTCCTCTGACCTGAAATTTGGCGGAGATCTATGCATATTTACTTCCTTTCATTTCCCAGATTCTGGACTTTATCTATAGAATGGTTTTGATTTTTATTTTGATCTATTTTGAATGGCGTGACACGGAAAACCAGCAATAAGATGGATAATATCACACTTAGAAAATTGTTTTCTGTGAGTGGCTGGTGCTTCCATCAGTTCATGGCAACAAGGCATCATTTTTTGATGGTCGCTAGTGCTTCTGGAGAACCCTGTCCTCTTGCTTGATTAATTGCCCGACAAAAGTATTGCTATATTACCATATTAAAGGAGGAATTTTTATTCTAAAGGTAAAAGCCAGATCCCTCAGAGCCAGTGACATTCTTTGGTTAAACAAACAATCTGGTGACTTCCGTTCTCCATGCTTATTAATTTTAGGTGATTATGAGATTACTGCTGGTAGTTGCATGTCTGTTAAGCTCCTTGCCCTTCGCTCAGGATTCACAACATTGACTGTTACATACCAATACAATGATATCATACTTAAGGCTGCTATAACTGTTGGATCCTACCATGCCCTCAAGGTAAGTACAAACAAGGAGTTAGATTGGTTAGTTAGACTGAAAATTGTTTTGAATGTTTTTTGATAAAATACAATCCAAAAGTTTCATCTACAAACTCTTCCTTTCCTCTTTTTCTTCTCTAGTGCTTTCTTTGCTGTCATCTTGAAAATAATTGATGTCCTTGTATTAGTATAGGTATTGTAGTTGTGTTGCACGCTTTGTAGTAAATACAGTAACTGGCAGATTTCAAGAGGGAGTGTAGCAGGCGGTTTGCCTCCAGTATTAGCTGTGGTAGCTTGGTTGATTAACATTTTTCGTAATTGCACTTGTATGGAATTTAGGTTCTTGACCCAGTTGAGGTTGGTGTAGTTTCTTTGTGTTCCGCAAAAAATCTGATGTTGGACGGTGGACCTCTGCCTTGGATTGCGGATACTTCTAGTTATTATGAGGATGGTGAGACTTTAGCATGTGATTCAATAACAAAAATAGTACAAAGCAAAGGACTGTCACTATTAGATGCTGTGACTTAATAAATTAACATCTCCAAAAACAGACATTCTACTTTCCCTCGGCATTTCTTGAGGATTTTAAACACGGTGTAAAGCGGGTAAACCTTGGAGAAATAAAAATCCTCAAGAAATGCCGCAGGAAACTAGAGTGTCTGATTTTCGAGATGTTAATTATCCGACACAAAAGACGCACGCTAAACACTCAAGCGGACTTCATCCATGCGAAACTCTTTATTTAATTGTTATTTGTCCATTTTCACGCTTAAATTTCACATGCACTTTTCGCACTTTCTTTTTCTATATATATTTCCACAAATCATGTTAATTTGGTATCTTTTCATAATGATGAAATGAAGCCATCGAAAAGTCAAGTTTCTTTTATATCGTTGCTTTTTGTTTTAAAATGTATCTCTAAATCGAACCCTATTAGACTTAATAACGGGACGCAAAAAGCGCCAAGTGTCTTCTTATAAACTGTCTGATTATCCGGCCTCACTTGCGGCCTGTTAAGCAAAGGAAAAATTTGGCAGTTGGGATATTTAACTTTTACAAAAACAGCCTAGTGTAAACATAGGGTTATTTCAATTATATCAGTTTTGTACTTCGTGTTATTCTTAATTTTTTTTTATTAGATGGGAGGTAATGCTAAGGCCTCATAGTCACCTTTTTAAATTCGTTGTAACAGAACTGAGCATCTCTTCTTATCGTTGTTAATATTAGTATCTTTGTAATTGTTGTAAAATAAGATTTGTTTTAAGTTCATTACAATAACGAATTTTTTACTTATTTATTTATTTATTTATAATGATTAGGTGTGTCCAGGCACACACTACGCTATATATATATATATATTGGAAAGATGGTAATAGGGTAACCTTATTTATTTCTTGTCAGAAGGTTTTGCTCAAAGCACCTCAGCATTTACACCTCTATTTTTAATTTACGGCCTTTTCTGGCTATTTTTGTTCATAGAGCGATACCATTAGCTCCACCAAGGTTCTCTCTATATGTAGGACCGTAGTAACGGTTAGATTAGATCGTGAGCCAGGTTTGACAGTCAATAATTAAATGAAATTTTCTATCCTTCGATATTCACCAGTTTTCCCAGAAGCAGATAAAGCAGAACAGGTGTTTATTGGTAACGATCACACTGAAGATTTCCCTGGTAAGTGAAGTCATTAACATGTTTGTATTGTGTAACAAGGATACACTCTCTACGACAGACACCTTTGGGATCATCACTCTTCGTTGGTTGCCACCCAGCTACATCAGCGATTTAGTTAGCATTAGGACCTGTTCTTTATATTCAGTGAGAACATCCCAAGGGGTGTATGTTGGCAACTTAGGGAGCCAGATCGTTTTCCGCTGCCGCCCCTACATTGTGATACAGCCTTCCCGCGCATATCCGTGCTATTGGATTACTGTGCGCTTTTAAGAGACAAGTCAAAACATATCTTTTTGGATTAGCTTTTACGTAGATTTAACTTGATTTCATTTTATTTTATTTTATTTTATGTATTTTTATTATCATTTTTGCTTTTTATCGGTTTTATCCATCATAGATTCATTTTATAAATTTTAATTAGTATGACTGTAAATCGCTTTTGATCATTTATATGTTAAGAGGCGCTATAGTAAATTTATGAATTATTATTATTATTATTATTATTTATCCTGTTTGTAAGCCTTGACTTGTTTATTTAGTAATTGGAAGCATCTAGTAAATTTCTTATAATATGACTGATAAAACTAATGTTCAAAAATGCAAATGATGTTTTTAATAGTGTATGTTTCTATCAACTGTCGGTCACTTAATTGTTAATGCCGTTTTGTTTTGTGTTTTTTTTTTACAATCACGTCTTAATGAAATTCGAATCCTGTAATAATGAGGGCAACGAGTTTAAATCACGGGTAAAAAACGACGTTTCGACCGATCTTCGGTCATTTTCAAGTAACTCAAAAGTTAAAAGAATTAGCATATATATGTGTAAGGTGTAAAAATATGTTTAAGTACTATTAACAATTTTAAAGAATGAAGTAAAGCGTGCAGAGAAAGAACGACAAAAGAATTTAATTAAAAGAGCTATTTAAAAACTTTAGCACGAATTGAGTCTGGCTGTACATTGAGACTAGGTCTCAGTTCATTAATAAAAAACCTTTCAAGCATTTGCTTTTACACCTCTCTAAAATGCTAAAATTATTACTAAAATCTTTAGGCGCCCGAAGAATGTTTAACACGAAAGTGCTGGCCGACGGATGAACTTGTGCTTCTGTGTTCCTCAATTCGCTGGTGTACGTGGCGAGCTGCGTAACCTACATAACCTGCATCGCACAGGTCACATTCAAATTTGCAAACAAGACATTGCTGGTTGACAAGAGGTGGCTTAGCTTCTCGCATTTTAAGATCGCGCTCAATCTTTTGGCCGACAAACACTAGAGACACGGTCGTGTGAACTGTGTGACTCAAATTCTGAACTTGACGTCGAACAATGTCAGCTGAGGACTGGTCTTTAAATTGTAAAATAACACGAACAGGGTCAGATGAATCAGAAACAGCCGCGGGCGATGAAACAGGTTGATCAGAAACGTTTGTGGCAATAAAGCGGGAGATAGTAGAGTTACTGAGTTTGCCAGGGTACTTAAGCCGTAAAAAGGCAATTTACGACGATCGCATTCTTCGGAGAAATACGTCCAGTTGGACGAAAGTCAGAAAGCACGATCAACCATAGTTCTTAGTAACGCCCACTTGTACCGAACGTCTAAACAACAACAACAACAATTTATTTATTTAAAGAAATATAAAGTTACAATACTTAATGTCCTGCAAATAGCTATAATGCTAATCTAGGCAGGAAAAGACTTTAAATAAAGACGTTATTAAATTACATAAGAAAAAAGAAAAGAAATACAGTAACATACAGAAAGAAACACCGTACATATAAGTTCAAGTACAGGGTATTTTGTTATTTGAAAAAGACTAAAATTACAACTGGAGGTATATATAACATATCAGGTTAACTTCGTAAAGTATTCTATTAAATAATTAACATTCAAATAATTATGTTCATTACGTAGAACATTAAGGAGTAGTGATTTAATTTTTTTTCGAAAATTAGATATGTTGAGAGTCTTAACAGAAAGTGGAATAGAATTCCCAATAAACACAGCAATTCTAGTTAAAGAGTTTATAATTTTTTCAGGTCCAGAGAATTTTACAGAAAAACACTCTTTTGCAGATAATAGCGTATTATAATGATGTTTTGTATTGATTTTCGCAAAATTATCGAGAAGACGTTTAGGAGCTGTCTTAGCATGAACATCATACATTAAATGGCTTAACTGTTGAAAGAACAAAGACTGGAGCAAAAAGTGCATGATATAAATTCAAAAGAAGATGCTGTGGAATGTAATGCCTCATTTTAACAATTATTCCAACCGATCTAATTTTGTGACGGATAACGTCAATATGATGCTTCCATGGTAGTTCAGAATCAATCATTTTACCCAAATATTTAACAAAGTCCTTCATCTTTAGAATTACTCGAGTATTTAAAGTTCGATTAAAAATCTTAATTTTAGGAATGAAAGGTATTCTTTTTTGGCGCGGACGAAAAATGACAGAAAAAAATGAAAAATGACATTCACTTACTTTCTCAAGCTCATTGTTGAGAGTTCAAGAGCGCGTAAGTTGTCATTTGCATAGGTTAGACTTGTATCATCTGCGAATAGATAAAAAGTTAATTCCTTGGAAGATTTGTGGATGTCATTAATTTATAACAAAAATAGCAACGGTCCAAGTACAGAGCCTTGAGGCACTACACATAGAACGTTTCCGTCTCAGATATGCATTTGTCTATTTCAATCGTCTACATAACTCTTGTAATGTAACAAGAGGCCACTGTTCGTGGGCTTGACATAGACTTTGTTCTCCACATGTGAAGATCTGTTGAGGAGCTGGGTGCCCAGGAAGGGAGCATACCATGCCTTCTATCTCCATGGTGCATATAACGGAGGAGTGACACTGGTTGAGAGCCTCAAGAAGATTCTCCGCAGATGTTTTGTTTTGCGTAACGGTCTGTCTGTCATCAACAAATCGCCCGATTATGTGGGCATCTTGCCTTCCTGCTCCAATCTTTCTTCAATGTTACACAAACACATTAGCGAGTAAAGGATCAAGTTGGGATCCCATAGCGACACCGTCTGTTTGTTCCTGCAGCTGACCATTGAAAATAACAAGTTGATTTTTAGTTGCTGCTCTGAGAAGATCGACAAGGTCTTGTCTACTGAGATGAAGTTGGTACTTTTAATTGAACCAATTGTTCGTGAAAGCCTTATCACTGAGTAGCCGTTTGGTTTCCTCCAAAGGCACCTCGGTAAACAGGGAAGGAAACATCGTTGGAAACTAGGATATCACCGTTGTTGATTGACAGCTGCTGGATTTCATTCTTAAAGTCGAAAGCGTCAGTTATAGTGTACTGATTAGTGGAAAGTGGTTTGAGTTTTACATGAAGCCATTTTGCCAAGGCGTAGTTGTAAGTCTGTGTAGCTGATAATATAGGTCGCATAGCTAACACTTCCTCATGGGTCTTGGGTAGACCATAGAGATGAGCTAGTCTAGTGCCTGATGGACGGACAGAATCTGCAACTGGAGTGGGTAGAATTCGGCTCACGATTGACTCTAACTCTTTTTCTTTCCGGAGAAGCGGATGATAGTGCTTGGGTGGTCTTCCGCTACTTGTTGGTCTCAACCAATCGAAATTTAGTGGCATCATTTGTGGACGCCTCAGCTAGTAGACGAAGGTATTCTTCCTTATCCATTACGACGACACAGGATCCTTCATTCTTTAACATTTTTATAGTTCTTAACATATTTTTACACCTTACACATATATATGCTAATTCTTTTAACTTTTTACCTACTTGAAAATGACCGAAGATCGGTCGAAACGTTGTTTTTTATCCGTGATTTTACTGTGTTAAGTTTTAAAAACCCTTATTTATGATACGTTTACCTGTGCTGAGTACTGTCAAGTGCTTATTAGTAACAAATTCCGTTATATTGTAGCAACGTATCATTGAAATTAATGCAATTTCTTGCAGCTGACGGCAGTGGATCCTACCACTATTTTAGCATCATCTGTCGAAAATTGGGTGAGCAGGTGAGAACGCTGTAGCACAAGAGTTTTGTCAACCTTAAGTGAATTACACACACGTAAACTTTAGCCAAGGGTAAATTTCAGTTGAAGGAATTAAACCCCAAAAGCTGAATTTAGTCGGGCTCTCTTGTCACGTACGTGTACTGCTAAACAAAACGTATAAGAAGAAAAAAAAGTAAACTGACGAAAACCAACAATGGCTCTGTGTTGATTGCAGTAATCATTCTAATTGTTACAAAGCAATGATGCTATTGAGCAATAGCAGATTCGTTCTCCTGGACGTTAACTAGGTTTATCTGCTGTGAATTTATTGCTAAGTGCAGTTACTTAACCTTGACACAATGTTTCTGGTATCCATCCATGCTTAGGTTTTGACAGTAAAAATTGGAAATAGACCATCTCCAAAGAATCCTTATCCTGCAAGCTCTTCAGTGAAGATCAGGTGAGGTTGTGCTGTTAAACCGCTGAACAAAGAAAAAGTGCAGTCTTAGTGTGGAGTATTGTCGCAAAACTTCTGAAGTCACTCGATATTTTTTTTTCAGGTTTGCATGCATGGAACCTGCATCACTAACCATTGTTCCTGACATTAAACTGCCGACTGTTGAAGGGCGACAACTTTCTCCAGAAAACTGTGTCAACTCAAATAAAGAGGTACAATCGAAACTTAGAGTTTTTTGCTGAGGTTGTCTAATAGCGTTTATACATAGACCGAAAAAAATACAGCAGAGCTGTTGTGGTCGTGTTAAAACTAAAAATAAAGTCAAAATCATTAAAACAATCAGAAAAACTATGCACGGTAGAACTCAAAGCCTTAACTTTCTTTTGTAAAGCCGACTTTTTTTTTAAAAAGAGTGATATTAAACTCTTTATTAAAGAAGACTACACTCTTCATTCTTTTTATGTTTACTCTTTACTATTTATTCTTTCAATGTTATCACTCTTGCTTGACTATCCATAGAGTCTATCATAACAAAAAATATTGTTTCTTGCATCCCATTTTTGTTAGATCCACGTTCGAAACAACCAGCATTTAAATTTAATTGCCCACTTGCGTGACTCACTTGGGCGATCCTTTGACAATTTTACCTCACTAACTGTGGTGTGGACGACCAGTGATCGCTCTCTGGCGGAATTCGTGGACAAAACCAGTTCTGTGAAAATGATGTTTGTCACGTACAAGAAAGATGAAGACCTACGAAAAGCCATATGTAAGCAACACATTTTTTTCTGTACCGAAAAATGACCTCTCATGTAGAGTATTGTCGTCCTTTTGCAGACGTTCTTTTAGCACTTTAAATTGTTCTATCATCTCAAATGAATGGGACCCAGCCTGCGGACAAGCCCTTTTTCTCGGCTCTATTCTCTTGGCTTGGCAGAGATTGCTGAGAGATATTGCTTATAAGGTAAAAGCGAGCCTAAAGAATGCCTACTTAGGAGAGCAGATGAGAAGCAACTGGCAAGAGAATATAGCTGCCATCCGACATTACCTACGCCATTACCAACATCAACATCTGACAAAAACAGAAAAAAGTCATATAGTGGGTTGTTTGAAATTCATTTGTCATTGTTCATAACCTTGTTTGCTTGTTACCGGGGAAAAGGATTATGGATTGAACTTACTCACACTCATACTTACCACACGTAGAGGATTGCATCCTCAGACGTAGAAATTGAGGTTTCATTTAAAGCAATATGAATGATACTAATACTTTCATTTGTTTAGCGTATCAGACTGTAAGTTTGAGTGACAGGATGGGTGGAGTGGTTATTCAGGCATCTGTTGGAGGATATGAATGTGACACTCTCAGATGGTGTGGACAGGAATTGAAGGTTTGAATTTTAGTTTAGCAGTTGAGGAAGCTCTTGATAGAAAACACTCAGTGTTGTGGCTGGTAACTCATTATAGTGTGTGAACACGTGTGTTGCTGTACTATCTTGTTAACAAATTTCTTGCCTTGTTACATCAACACGAGCACACTGAGGGCCTGTTTACATGGAGGTGGGGGACTCCAGGTAGGTGAGGTAAAATGCGGCGGATCACCCCACCTATCATGTAAACGTGATCAAATTAAATGTGAGATTATATGGACAGGCGGGTTAGCCCACCTAAGCGGGTTACCTCACCTACCTGGTTTCCCCCACTTCCATGTAAACAGGCGTCAAGTCATGTAAGTCCTCTTTGTCACCCATGTGATATTTTTCTCTGATGGCAAAGCTATTTTTTTTTCTTTATCCAGCTTTTGCCAATCCTAGAGATGGGTCTCCACAGGAGATCGATGATCCGAATGCTAAGCTGTTTTTTATCTGCTCACAGGAACCTGCGAATTTTGCACTCACTGGACGATTGAAGTTGTTGTTAGTGCCTGAGAGAAAACTTGTTCCACCGGCAGCGTCAATTCTGAATCACCCAGAGAATCAGGTACATTCATTTCGGTTGTCTAGGTAAAAGCACCGTTATTTAATTAACAATTAGATTCCATTCTGTCAGTTATGGATCACAGATGACGTCAAAATGTAAGAGATCAAGCTTCAACGCTGGGTAGAAAACTGGTAAGTGTTAATGATATAATTAAAAGAAGTGTAGTCGGAAAAAGAAGATATGGAAGACGAGAGTGATCAAGTTTTAACGAAGAAATGGAAGTCATCCGAATTCAATTAATTCAAATGTAAGCGAAGTAAACGATTCAGAGCAGAATTTACACCATTTTGCGAAAGTCGAGTTTCCAGAGGACACTGTGTGTAATCGTTAACGCGGTTGCTGATGTCATTTTAAACATGGCACGCCCGATATTAGAATCTGTGAAAGAACTCTCCGAAGATTACTCCAATCGTACCTTAAATACAAGGACATAGGAAAAAGCAACAGTCACAAATATTGCTAAGGTACACATAGCAATTCGTGATTTAATGACACATAAAAATAATGTCAGTCTGGAACAGGATCCTTTTACCCTCCTTTGGATTACAAATTGCGTACTATTCTCAGCGGTGATTGCCTTTCTCCTCTGCAAAGGCTGGAGAAGGGGAAAAAATAATTTCCCAAGAGAACAGGAGAGGCTCAGAAATGGAAACGAAAGAAAGGTACGAGACCCAGCGCGTGAAATCAGGAAAAATCTGTCCACAGTTCAAGCAGAATTGGACAAAATAAGAACAAACGGGAAGTTAACAAAGAAAGGCATCAAGAACAGAAAAAGCTATTACGAGAATGAAGCATCATTTCTGCGGCAGATTTAGTTGATTATATGGAATACGAGAAATCCAATTTAAGAAAGCGTAAGAGGAGGTTTTTGAGATGGAAGTCTTGATAGGAGGCAAAGAGTGTAAATAAATAGTCTGAGTCGGACCCTGGCAGGCTGTACGCTGATTTTAAGAAAATCATCGCTGAGCGGGTGAGAAGAGAAGACAGGAACGTATTTGATAATATCGAGGTTTCTACGGAATACTGGAGGGCCCTCTGGGAAGGTAAAGGGAACTGGGAATCATGTGACACCCTGGCTCCATGAGGTTCACAAAGCTATCAGTGATACTGTACCTGCACCAACAGCGACAACGTTTGAGCTGGACCACACCCAAGCCGTGAAAGTGATCGCTAAGAAAAAGAACTAGAGCGCTCCCGGCCCAGACCGAATTGCCAATTATTGGTGGAAGAAAGCGGAACATCTTCATAAGGGTGTGGCAGAATGTTTCCAATCTATTGGTCAAGGGAACCCTGCAGTTTCATTATGGTTCACTGAGGGAAAGACCACCCTAATTCTCATGCCTGCGGAGTTCACAAGTGACAATCAACGACCAATTACGTACCTGAACACCCTGTACAAGTGGTTTACCGCCTGCTTACACGGGGATGCAGGGGGACCAGAGAGGGGCTAAGGAAAGGTGTGGCGGAACGTAGGAAATATTTGCTTATAGATTGCACGTCTGTCAGGACAGCCAAAAAGACTGAGCTCGTGATGGAATACACCGATAGTAGCGAAAACAAAACAAGGAGTGGAGGCATCTGACCAAATTACATTCAAGAGAGGTCTTCCCCGGAGTGATACCTACGTCCAAGGTTTTTGACGCTAAACATTTAATTAAGCAAGGGTCAGCAGGATCAAGCAACGATCCTCTGACAAATTCGTAGGGGTTATAGAGAATATCAAACAAGAAGATCACCTGGTGCTCAAAAGTGCAGCAAACGTTTTCATTCAGAGAATGAACGGGTTCTTGGGCTAAGGTAAACTTTGGGCAAAAATCAAAACTTTTTTCCTTTCTTCGTTTTGTCCAATGCAGACTAAAGTTTTTGAGATTTGGGAATTGAACACGTTATTGTGGACCAAAAAAAATAAACAACAATGAAGTTATTTTGTTTGGTGTGGAAAATGGAAAAAAATTGAAAAACATCCTTGAGAAGTTGAGAACCCTTTAGGGTTAAGTTTTTCTCCTCCATATGGTGTAAACGAAGTACATTGCAGTTTGCTTTGTGACCTTTCATTTATAGATCACAAAAGACGTCGAAGAGACAGGCATATTTCCTGGCATCTTTAATTCCCGCCCGTCGATCACTGTCTTCAGCGTTCTCTTCATACCTTCCAACCACTTGCATTGCAGGGTCTGGATTACCGTACAGCTTAACCACCGCCCGATCCTGGTCTGTTCATTTTCTTTCTCCACTGACTTTAGACCTCTTCCTCCAAGCTTGCTTGGGAGGTACATCAACTTTGGTAATCCTAAGGGGTGCTTGCCTCCTCCGCTCTGGTTAGATGCCAGCACTTTATTATAGTCAGACAGATAGTTAGTCCAGATATCTCGCTTTCATTTCATTCATTTATTTATTTTGCTATTAATTATTAACTGTATATTTACGATTCACAAAACATAATAAATTAAAAAATATACGTATGTATTAAAGGGGATATTTACTATTCTATTTTACAACTTATGGAAATGGTTATGGCAAGGAAGCCGATATATAGCAGAGATAACTGTAGAAACACTATCTACCAATAAATTAATAAAGTAAGTGTCTTGTCTAAGGAGAGTACCTTCGCCTTTAACAACGACTAAACCAAGGTTATGATCCTATCCGCCCCGCAGATGTCCAGAGTTCATCACCTTGACGAGTATGGTCCTAACATCGCAGTCAGTGTTTATAAAATAGAACGCATTAAGTCTTGCAAACTACCTGGAGTTCACATCAATGAACATCTTAAGTGAGACGATCACATCAAGCACACGGTATCTGGATGCTACGCTACTCTATCAATACAAAGAAAACTGAAATATCTCGCCAAATATGAGCTTAGAAAGCAGCTAGCAGAAACATTGATTTCGTCAAAACTAGATTATGCCGATCTGGTTTTCTACCCTCTACCACAATTCTTACTTCGCCGTTTGCAACCAGTTCAATTTGCTGCCGCAAGTTTTGTACTCGGTCAGTATGTTGAGAACTTTCGGGATGCGCTTAAAATCGGATGGCTTCCAATCAATGAGAAAAGAGATTTGAACCTCCTGAAATCATGCTTTAAAGCTTTGCATAACACTGAGACTTGGCCAGACTATCTTAAAATAATCAAACAGGAATGCCTCAAGGAACTGCCCTCAAGCAATTCAACTAGATTAGTGGTCCCGACCGAAAACGGCACTTTCCAAGATAATGCGTCGAAGCTATTTAACAATTTACCAGAAACTACGAGAAACTGTAAAGATTACAGAACCTTTTTAAGATTTTCAAGGAATTTTTTATGTAACTGAGTACAGAGTGATTAGTTAGTTTTACTGTATTTTCGATTCTTTTAATCCTGCTTCTACTGTTAATTGTATATTGCGTAAGTTGTAAACAACTTAATTTTGGTTTATTTTTTTAATTGTAATTGATGTACTTTAACAGGGAAGAGCTACCCAGTGGATCTGTTAATAAACCAGTATTATTGTCATTATTATTATTATTATTATTATTATTATTATTACTATAGCCAAAGCCCATGACATTACCAACGGAAAATCTTAGTAAATCTTAATAAGTGCACACAGGGCATATAAGGGGGTGCCTCCTCTTCCTTCTCCTCCTCCTCTACAACAGTTACTTTTAGTATGTTTATCAAAAATATTATAATATATGGTGCATTAAGTGAACAGCTTGTAGATTGGAGGATGGTTTTATCCGCTTCTAGGCCGTGTTTCGCATTGATGGAGGCTCAGGTCGCTTTGCTGTTAAAGGAAGCAGTAATACTATCGCCAAAGTTGACTACCAAGGCAAGAGTGAACTGCTGGTAAGTGAATGAACTGGGAAATTGCTGCCTTTTCACAGCGAGACCAATATATCGGGGCCTTTGTCTAAATTGTTTTCAGTGTTCTTCATTAGTTAAAGCCTTAAGCTACGGTGGCATCGACTGTATATTTCATGACTTTTCTTGTAATAATAATAATAGCAATAATCAACTTTATTTAACGAGGGTAACACGGCACAGTACTTCAACTGAATAACTAGTGGCCCTCAATTCAATTGTGGTTCAATTCAGAATGAGACGTACTGCTTTGTCACACTTGTATACTGGATGAATAATAACAGAGTCGGATATAATCAATCGGTTTCCTTTTCACAGGTGATACCACGATCTGAGGGACTGTTCACAGTAACAGTACACGACTTGTGCTTGGACTCCACTGTTCCCGCTACATTACACGTGCAAGTGTCAGACCTGTATGGGGTGGATGTCAATGTTGTAAACAAGGTACAACAGGCCTGTTAGTGCCTGGGTGGGGTGGGGGGGGGGGGCGTATGGTTCAGTGTGGTTCTGGGAAAGGGGAGCCTGTTACCCTTAAAAAATAAATAAACCATGGCAAAGCTTGTGATGGAAAGCCTCTTTGAATCAGCAGCTGAGGAATTCCACATTAACTCTCGTTTCAGGTCTACTCTTTCGAACTGTTTCTTTCAGCTTTCTTATTGTTTTTTTCATAACAAGCTTTGGAATTGGGACGGAAGACTGTCTGAAGAAACACATTTAGATTCAAGAGAAAGAATCCCAGCTTGAGCGAACATATAGCACCCCAGACAAAGAAGCCTTACCAACTCCTCCTCTCAGAAACTTGTTCAGTACGCGTCTCTTATATTTCCATTATACCACAGGCCACCACAACAGAAAACCATAATCTACCATTGTTTTGCTTTCCGTAACAGATTGAGATATTTTCATCAGAGAAACTCAGACTGCAGCTTTTGGATGTTTTGGGCTCACCATTATTACTGGGAAGCCTCAGATTCCTTTCATTAACACCGCACTTCTCTCCGGACATATTAAGCATCAGGTACGGTGCCCGCTGGTGAGCAACCTATCTGGGCGGGGAGGGATTGGGGAAGTGGAAGGAAACGAAAGGTTGCGTCGAGAGGAATTTGAATTTCTACGTCAAAAAAGTCGATGCATATGCGGATTGGTAGAGATTTAATTTGGCAATTATTGTCAAATTTGAAAGGATAGACCACATTACGTCAAGAAGAACACCGCAACTCATGCTATTGAAATCCTTCTTTCTGGCAATCAGCTAAAGCTGTACCCATGGAATTTTTACTTCCGTTTTAAAAGAGAAGAAAACTTGCTGCTAGAAATACGTCAATCGCAGGACCTCCCTAAGCAAACGGCTACGACGTCATCGGCCTGAATTTATTCCACTTCAAAGAAATAAGTTCCCATTTAAAAAGGAGGAGTAAAACATCCCTACTATACTACTCAAGTCAAATAGGTGACAGCTACAATTATATTTGTAACTTTGACTTTGACTTTATACGTAAATCGTTCGTACCAGTAAATGGAAAATGTCTTTTGGTGTAACTGAAGGTTTGCGTCAGCTATATTTCTTACCATCTCACGGGATTTCTAACCATTTACCCAAACGATTATAAGCCATCCAGCTAAAAGACCCTACGAGGCTTTCATGTATTGTAAGTTAAAAGAAAATAGATTATTTTATGATTATTTTTATGCCCTGAACAGTTTACAAAGATATGAATGAAATATGGTGTGACATATATTTCCTTTAAAAAAAAAATGGGTAACTGATAAGTCCGTGTTGGGCTCCCTTTCCTTTTTCCAAATTCTAATTTTTTTACGCCTCTACCCTCTAGGCGAGATTTTCAATTGGAGGAAGACAAGGTGATCAATCGTGACACTGCCTACTTAACCGTCAGAGGCTTGTCCCTTGGCACCGCAAGCCTCACTTTTACAGCTTCTGCTACAGGGAAGGGAAGTGCTACAAGCAGACCTAGGGATATTCAGGTACGTCAGCTAAGGAGAGTGAATGACGGATCTAATGTTAGGTTTAAGGTCGATTTTGCACTCGTTTTATTTACGTTACTAAGCAAATGTTACCAAGGGAAGAAAACCCACGTGGGGTAGTCTAAACGTTTCTTTTCAGGGCGTTTCACACGGAGTGACAGTTACATCACCCCATACTTGATACTTCTTCCTGCCCCCTCCCCCCCCCCGCCTTCATACGTTAGTTCCCTTGGAGCATGCTTGCACACATATCTGTTCTGTACTGGTCTTGGCTTTGAGCAATTGTTCATATTAGCATTACATACATACTGTGGTCCATACTGTGTTTTTTGGCGATAGGTTTTTGCACCGTTACGTCTGGATCCAAGAGTTGTTGTGCTCATTCGCGGAGCCTCATTTCAGGTAATACAGTTTTAAGTTTTCTTTCTTTACCACTTTTGTTACGTTCATTCAAAAACGTGACGTTTTACTTGACTTTTGTTCGATCCGTCTTTTGATCTTATGAGGAGTGTGTGGATATTAAAAATTACCAAAAAACTACTAAAACAATCAATCTCTGTTTCTGAAAGTGACTGCTCAAATTTGGAGTGGAATTTGTATTTGTCATTATCTAGGTACTATGAGAAAACATTTGATTCTGTGTGGCACGACTGACTTCTATGCAAGCTTGTTAGTGTCTGAAAGAACCCCTAAAACATTATACTTAAATTCAAATCGTGCCTTTAAAACTAAGTCGCCACAGTCTTAAGTAAAGTTTTAAGTATTATTAGTCTCGCTTGCGTAAGCAGCTGGACTCATAATCTCCAACGCGTTTTCGCCTCGGGGGGTAGTCCCTTATATAGGCTATATAGGCATGTGCCGCGCCAAAGGGTATGTTTTTAGCTGTTTTGGTCCGAAATAGGGTATCAATTTCGACCACGGTATGGTTTGTGCACTCGTCTTGAATTGGGTTTATTTTTTTAGAAGTATTAGCTACTTCTTCATCATTTGGAAATAAGACCATTTCCCTTTTAATGTTTACGCCAACTACCGTGTACGTGCCGTAACAGCTTGTCACGCGCTCCGGTCACGCGCCGGGCTCCAGGGCTTCAGGTCTGAAATAGGGTATCAAATTTTGATTACGTCTGAAACAGGGTAGGGAAAATCATAGATCTTGGTCTGAAATAGGGTAAGGGTTTCAAGAAGCGTGCCGGACACTCCTCCCAATTTTTCTGGAAGTACCCCCCCCTGGAATTTTTGGGACACAAAAGGTAGGTCATTGTGCCAGGCGTCCTTGCGGAGACCGTGGAAACTGGGACTAAGAATCTTTGCGTGATGGAAGCCACGCATGTTTTGCGAAGAAAAGCTTGGGAAAGATTTAATTTAGAGATTCTCCGAAACGTGTCGGTCCACGAATTCTGTCTTTTGAAAGCGTTGATTACTTTGGAGCAAGGGAACACTACTAAGTGGTCGAAAAAAGATAAGAAACTTAATTAGAAAAATTTCGATGGTCGGGTGTTTTAAACGTTCACTGTATGCAAATGAGTCTTGTGATGAGCATGCGATTTATTTTCGGCGATTCAAATGACGTGCCATGTAAATCACTTTTTCGATATCTGGCAATGATGTAATTACTCTGGAATCGAGGCCCTTGAATTTTCGTGTATCTATACACGCGTATAGGCTGCTACCAGACGACGAGCGAATAGTATCCCATGATGCATTTTCCAGAAGCATCACGCAATATCGCAGTCATGGCAGATTCCATCATGAAATAAGGTCGTTTTCTCGTCGGCTTTTTTCTCACTCGATTTCCAGGTAAAAGTAAGAAAATTACATTATTTCGTTATTTGACATGATTTCTCCGATTTGCAATGGCTTAAGAGCGAAGTTTCCGCACAGAAACATTTATTTCCACGGTTTCAAGTAGTCTTCCCATCACAAAGTGTTCAGTGACCCACAACAAGGTCATGAATATTCAAGATTTTTTGGAATATATGTTGAAATCTTCGAAATGTGGACGTCACGCCAGCAAAATGAAGTCCTGAATATTGTACAGGCTAAGAAGTACCCAGAAGTACCCACATTTTGAAGACCTTTTTGTCGACCAAAGATGGCTTAAATTTCGAATCTTTTATCACATTTCAACGCCATGTGTCATAATATATGTGTGGCCTGCTGAAGGCTACAATCTGTTGGGCGCTTTCGAGAGCGCTTTAATATTTATGCCGAAGCAATCACTTTGTATTTTCAAAGAGGTTATTTTTAAGAGGAATTTGTCTATAATTATTTTAATTCGAAGAAGGAGCGGTGCAAATGGTGTGTTTCAGTGTGAAAACAACCTAAAGAAAGGTACCACGCAGCATGCAAGCCGGCACAACGTAAACAGGCCTGCTCAGAATTTGAAAAAGAAACATCAGAAACTTTATTTATTCAAAAGAACAGATCAGTATTCTGGGCAGGAAATTTCCTTGATGATTGCTTGAGTCAGTACCGGGTAGATTGTGCTTCAGAGAATTGTTTGTCGCATCGATAGGTTAAATTTTATTTGTAACTGCCGTTCTAAACTTCAGCTCCTTTGAGCGCGATGCTGTAATAAATTCTCCTTTGGTAATTAGCTTCACAGCGTAGCGGCTGTTTTGTTGGAACCACTTTATAGATCAGTCATAGTTTTGGTTCTCCTCTGGCCTGGGTACGGTTCTGCTAGTGAACCTAGCGAAGTTTATCAATTGCCGAGTCTTATACTTTGTGTTTACAGTGCGACGGAGCGCACAAAGGAGTTCTCGACAGATCAGTGAAATACATGTAAAACCCTTCTTGATCAAAGTAACGCTGAAATTCTCCTTTAAAGGACAGTGAATATAAGCCAACTCGATAATCTCAAAAGCAGAAGCTGCTGAACCGAAACATGTTTGGAAACCATCCACATCGAGCACTGCGATCGATGTTCACTTCACGCGTGCTGAAGATTACTAATGATGATCTGTCCCGTACGCAGTGATAATATAACATGAATCGAGGTGCATCATGGGATACTATTCGATCGTCGTCTGGGCTGCTACCGCAGAGGTATTTTTGGGCGTCGCTAACACGCGTACTAAGTCAATTCAGAAACAAATAAAAAGTATCGACGAGGTTGCAGTTTAAGTCCTCTGCTCTTTAACCTATATGTTAGTAACTGAGCGTTTTCGTTCAATAATATTTTATCTGATCCGTTTCTGCTACAAAATAGCACCATAGTCAACTCCCTTTTTTCTGCAAAGGACCCAGTGCTATTATCACGATAATATTACAAAATTTGCGTAATCACTTACTCTTCTTGTAGTAACTCCTGGATGCTTAAAACCAAGAAAATGATTTTTCAAAGATGCGCTAAAATGTTATATGTTTTTCACATAGGTAATGAAATAATAGATATGTACAAGACTTGCATCCCTTCTTCTGGAAATTTTACGCTTCCGCTTGAACACCTGTACTAAATGCGGCGTTATTTAGTTTAAGACGCCACGCTGATTTTAGTGAGCTGAACCTTCTTTTGCATTTAAAGGGTTTGATACAATGCTTCAACCACTGTAACCTACAACAGTGAAGTTTGGGGTGCTTCTGTAAAATCAGATTTGAAGTTGTGGGACAGCTCCGAAATTGAAAAAAGAAACACGTTTACTATTCTGTAAACGCCATGCTCCTTGCAGAGCTAAACTTTGAAGATTCCCTCTGATCCTTGACATAAAATAAAACATAGGCACGTTCAACGTGCATGAGCTATTTTGAATGCTTCAGTGTAACTATAATACTTCGGTGTAACCTTACCAAGAGTGATGAATCTACTTTTTTCATCCTAAATGTAGATTTGGTTTTTGTGCGAAATTGGGTATTGCGCTACATAAATGAAAACGCGAAACGCTCAGCTGAGTCGATCCTCAACCTATGTATTCACTTTCCTCTGTCTTTCCCAGTTACATCTGGTGCAAGTTAAACAAATTGCTAAAGTAAAATAAATTTCTACTCACCAAACGTTGATTAGAAGGAAAACTCTAAGGTTTCCTCGGAGTTTCTTAAGCCAAAATGTGACTCATCGAATACTGAATAGTTACGAAATACCAGGATTTTTATCATTGAGGTAGATGGTTGCGTCATCATAATTCACGAGGTTTTCACGTGCGATTCTACTCAGTGAAACAGTCTTTAACTCCGACAACTTATTTCTTCATGTTTTAAAAGCTATTGCTTCTTAAAAGGCAAGAGCCTTTTTTAAGGCATTGGTTACAAAACGAAACAGGTCTTCATATGTCCAAGTTACTATTTATCATTGTGAAAAGCCAATCTGCATGAGATGTACAGTCACACAGCTGGCACGTGAAAGTGTTGGACTTTGTCCCCTTTCGTGGATCGTACGTGAGGGAATTCGAGTTATCACACAATAAACTAGTAAACAGAATTATAAAAATAACTCTTGCACACAATTTGCACGTGAAGATGTTGGTCTTTGGCCCTTTTAAAATTCGTACGTTAAAAAAAGGCAAATTGTTTACTACAAAATTTTCTCAAGCGATTTTAAGAAATCACCTCAGCTTCATTACAACATCTGCAATTAAATTATGTTTCATGCAACGTCAAGGTTGATAACCTAACATTTATTAACATTTGTGAGACAGTCTTTAACTCCGACAACTTATTTCTTCATGTTTTAAAAGCTATTGTTTCTTAAAAGACAAGAGCCTTTTTTAGGGCATTGGTTACTAAACGAAACAGGTCTTTATACGTTCAAGTCACTATTACTATTGTGAAAAGCCAATCTGCATGAGATGTACAGTCACACAAATGGCACGTGAAAGTGTTGGACTTTGCCCCCTTCCGTGGTTCGTACGTGAGGGAATTCGAGTTATCACAGTAATCGAGTAAACAGAATTATAAAAATAACTCATGCACACGATTTGCATTTGAAGATGTTGGTCTTTGGCCCTTTTACAATTCTTACTTTAAAAAAACGCAAATTGTTTACTACAAAATTTTCTTAAGCGATTTTAAGAAATCACCTCGGCCTTATTACAACATCTGCAATTAAATTATGTTTCATGCAACGTCAAGGTTGATAGCCTAACATTTATTAACTTCCAAGAAAATTATCAAACTGCCGAAATATATTTCTGCTCATATCATGTTACTCCACTCAATAAAGCAGTACCTAATTATTGTGTCAACTAGCTTCTTCCAATTTTATTCCCTAACGCTACTGTTTCTACGTAAGTTTATACGCATCTTTACAAAATAAAATACGTTTCAATAACTATAATGCTTAGTATGCAGGAAGGATGTATCATGTTTTTCACTTATTATTCCTTTTTGTTGTTGTTTTGCCGGAACGAAAAAGGTCTGTTGAACTTTGTAAGCGAGAGAATAATATTTCTACAGCTTGTTTACAGGATTAGCAATACTCGGTACAGCCTTTAAAAAAATAAGCTGCTTTTCAAACTTCTAAAACCACATTTTATAGGCCGCATACTTTCGAATTAAAGTCCATATCTAAATATCAATTATTGCTTCACTGGAAGAGCTTTGAAAATATATGATCGTTTATACTCTACCTTGAAGCAGGTGAAACACAACTCATAAATACGTGCGTGGTACCGTTCGCGATAGCCGAATTCGGTCAGAAATCTCTTGAAGTAGCATCCACACTAAAATATGAACCCTTAAACAGCTGCATCACTGTACACAGCGTTTGAATCATGAAGATATTTAATATAATGTTTCCAAACACCTGTAGCCGTAATAAAAGACGAACAAATTGTAAAGAATCAAGATGGCGGTCTTAAAGTGCCCTTGTTCGACCTTTAGCAATGTGATTTTTAAGTAGATGCCAAGATCTCATTGGTTCCTTAGCATCAACTCATAGTACCTTCAACCTTATTGGCTCTTGCAACAAACATCCCAACATACAAAGTTACAAAGATACAAAGATACAAAGATACAAAGATACAAAGATACAAAGTTACAAAGTTACAAAGATACAAAGCCACAAAGATACATACGCTCACACCACTGACATATGAGCTATTTTTTCAAAATAGCTCAAAAAAGGTGCTTTTAAATTACTTAAGTTACCTCCAACAAAAAGATAAAGATACTTTTAATTAGTCTTTTGACCTTCATTAAATAGTTTACTCACCTGTCTTATGACGATGACTGACCACTATAATTTTTCTGACTATAATTGGCCAATTTCGAATTATCAAAATTAATACTCGGCTCCAAGGCTGAGGAAAATAAAACAAAAGAAATGAATTATTAATTTATGGATCTCAGTGTCATTTCCTTTGTTCAAACATTCAATATATTTCATTCATGTCATCTTGTTTCAAATGGAGACAAACTTGTATTCGGGATATTTACTCCTACTGTATGAACAGTGGAAAATAATCAACGATTGGTTTCATTTTATGTTATTTTAAATTATTTTAATTAGTAATGGTAACAGGACTGAGTGGGGTCCAGTTCGGTCTGTAATCATACGAGTGATTAACAAAACCGGACGACCGCGTAGCGGGAGTCCGATTTGTTTAATCACGAGTATGATTACAGACCGAATTGGAGGACACGAAGTTCTGTTACCAATTAATCGTAACTTTAACAAAATTTGTGATATAAAAGAGTATTTTTTAAATCAAAACACAAGAAATTCGAAATTTTGTTTTGCTGGCAGTGAAAAAAAAAGCCATTTAAGCGCGCGCGTGATGGCGCGTACTGTCCTATTAACTGTCCAATTAGGGCTGAAATCAGGGCAGTTGATAGCCAATCAGATTTGAAAATTTTGTTATAGTTATGATTAATAAAAGAATCAACAATTGGATATAAGTAGCTTTTAACAATACTTATTTCTTTCCTATGGTCATGCAAATAAAAAGTATTGTTGTTGTTGTTGTTGTTGTTATGTGTTTTTATTACTTTGTTCTGTAACATCCCAAATATTATGAGCGGCAAACTTGAAAGTTATTATGAACGCAGGAGGCCCTGCTTTATTTTTGTGGAAAGCTGCTGGGCATAGGAAAGTGTCGTTATAACTTATGATCTTTTTTCTCATTCCATCATGGAAGTGATAGGGTACATGTCTTTCAATTCAGTTACCTTGCCGGCGTTATTACTTGTCAGGTCCGGAGCACAGGTGGTCCAAGTCCACAAACAGCAACCTTGTTTAACGTCGTTAACGAAACTGTGGCATCTGTCAGTAGCGTGGGACTCGTTAAAGCCCTGCACCTTGGTACGACTAATCTGACTGGATTGGTTCAGGCTGCTGATGCTGCTAAAGGCCAAACATTGTTTTACTCCAAGGTGATTTAGTCTCAAGCGATAGAACAATAGTTACTTGTCTCCATTAAAAGGACATGGTGCCCTTGTAGGTAATTTGTAATAATAATGTTCCTCAGAGCCGTTTGAAAGACAGTTTAATTTTTGTTCTATGTCTTTCCCTTATCTTTTCGTAATTTCCTTTCTGACCTTCATGGAGCGTTGACTTGTTATTAGATTTATGATGCTCTTGGATTTTATCCAAACGCCAAAGTAAGGATTTTGCGAACAAGGGATTGTTTTGATTAAAACGTCTTTCTCACCGCTTAGTTGAAATGTTAATGATAATAACGTTTTTGAGATATTATTATATGTCTTTTTCTCCTGTTCCTAGGATGTTATCATTGTTCACGTTGTACAACTCAAAGGAGTAAAAATTAACGTGGCCTCCACTAACTTGGTTACTGAGACAAAGGTATTTATCAGCTTGAACTGAGTTGTACAGCAATGTTGTGACATCTTTAACTTAATTTTGTTCATCTAGGTGTACCAAACAAACATTTGATAACTCTAGCATACGATATTTGATATAATGTTATCTAGCAATTAGCATGAACTAATTTGTGAATAATCCGTACATCTCGTAATATGTGGTCGAGCTAGTTGTTCGTACGTCGATTAGCGCTCACCCGGGGTTAAACTCTAATCCAAGTTTCATTTTTTTTTTGTTGAAAAGCATTTTCATTTCATCAAATTGTAGACAAAAAAAATTAAACTGAATTTGCTTTTTAAGCTTTCAAATTGAATTTCAATTTCGCACTAACCCTGGGTTACCTTAACCCAGCTTTGAACGACCCGGTCCAGGCAGCGAACAGCTTTTAACAGTCATCGAAAAGTGGTATGACACCCAAGGTGAGATGTCGTGAATCCTTGCCAAACTTCAAGCGTCTACTAGTTACGGTAATTCATCGAAAACCTTCAGGTAGCATTGTAACAGTTTCCGGGGTTTTTGAAAAGCAGTAGTGGATTCACATCCATTCAAGTTATTAGTTTGCTTTCTCCGTTCTTTCTTCTTAGTTTTAGAGAAAAGTCTTCTCTCCTTTTTGTCGTTTTCTTTTTGGACAGGTAAGCATTTATGCGTCTGGCTTGAGTGATGAGACTCCATTCACCTTTGCCAATGCTATGCCTGGGTTGAAGTTCCGCTGGAGTTCATCCAATCCGGATGTGTGTCAAGTCAAGTCTGTGTACGCTTTGGTAAATTACCCTACAACTTGTATCATATTACTAGTATTGAAACTAAACCCTTTTTATTTATTACTCGTGTTACGTGGCTAAAACACTTGCGCCAAATAAAATTAAGTGCTTATGAAAAAAGGAACTCTGTTTTATTGTTCTGTTTTATGACCATTTTGCCATTTACATTAAATATACACACAGAATTTAGAAAGATGAGGTACGAGAGCCTATGGAAGCCAATCAGGCTTATAATAATATATGACTTAATTACTTAAATGAAACACGGGCATAGGCAAGACAATTTAACCAAACCCACATAAAATAATCATTAAATAGGATAAAAATAGTTAAGGCTGAACGTGCAAGTGCTTCCCTGGGTGCCAGAGGCTTTTCATGCGCGGTTTCCGGTTTTTCCGCGCGAAGCTCCCCGTCGCACGCGAGAAAAAACCTCTGGTACCCAGGGTATGCAAGTGCAGAAAAGAAAAAGAAAAAGTGAGACGAAATAATGCAAAAATACGAGGGAAAAGAGCGAAAAAGTACACGCAAGCATTAAGAGTTAACTATGCTTATATCAAGAAAACTGACCTTAGTTTAGAAGTGAACACAGCAATGCTAGAGGCATTCTGAATTTCAGAGCTAAAGGCATTAAATATTTGGGCCCTTGAAAACCATGTGAAAATTTCCTTAAATTTATCCTACAGTGGCTAACTAGTGTTATTTATACGAATGTGCGTCACAGTTAAATAAAAACATGTCATTAAAACTATTAGGAAGAAGGCCGTTTTTGTAAAGATACGTAACTTTACCTATACTAAGTTTGATTATATCTTCAAATTTTAGAATTCGTAAGGTCACAAAATAGGATTGGTATCTGCATCAAAAGTACTCCTGGAAATTATTCTGATAACCGGTTTTTGGAGGGTAATCAAACGTTTAAAATGTGACTGATAAGTTGAGCCCTAAACACTCGCACAGTAATGTAATTACAGAGAAACTACTCTACATAACCGTGCAACTTATGACTTTCCCTAGCAAAACCAGCTGAACTAATACATCAAGTGTCAGGGCAAACAGTCGAACAGGACTGTAGACGCAACGCTGAGAAAAACGGCTGCGTGTGAGATTAAATAAATTAATCTGAACAGTATTCATTTCATTCTAAGGTTCAGAAGTTTTAACAAATGTTTTACTTAAAGTTGACCTCTGTAATTGTCTCTGTTGTTGTTTTTCTCTTGATTTTTTGTTTTCTTTTTTTGTCTATGACTGAAGAGTGGCGTGGCTGTTGAAAGTGAGAGAGACTTTCGAGTGGACCTGCACTGCACTAATCCAGGCCAAACGACTGTCACACTCAGGTTGGAGATAACTGACCACAGATATCAACAGGCTTACTCACAGGCCTTGTTTCGAGATGATGTTACATTTGACGTAAGAAACCCAAATTCCTTTTTCATATTATTCACAAATTCATTCATCTACCCATCCACAGTTGTGCAAAAATTGATTTTGCGCTAGGGCAAATATCTGAGTCACTGATTTTGTCTGAGTTATTAACCCCCGGGTAGATAATTCCTCTTATCATGAAGTTAAATGAAATTTAACGCAGAGGAACAACAAGGAGCGGTCTCTTTCTTGTCGGTCAGCGGTCAGTGTGGTGGCGCAGCGCAGTCAGCCTTGCTTGTATCAGCTCCATGTGCTTATTGCGATGCTTTCATGGTGGTCACTCGCTTTGTTTAGCCTTTGGATCGTGCTTTTTGCCCCTCCCCTTCCCTCCCCTACAGAGAGGAGAAGTTGTTACGTCACGTTGCCATGGTAGCAAAATTTTTGGATGATCAAAGCGGAAACGACACTTAAAAAGTGAATTCGCACAGCTTCAAACTTCATCGATCTTATTCAATTTCATTTAATTTGGCAAATGTTGGCGAAATTCTCTAGGTTTGAATCCGAAAGTACCGTATCTAAGTTTAGAAGAGGAAAAAGACAACTTTTGTGTTGTGTTCACCTACTCCATAAAGCAAGCATGTGAAATTGGGAATTTTCCGGTCGCATGGGCGCATCGACGGCAAAAAAATGTGCAAAATAGCTTGATGCACGTGTAAATTTGCTGTTTTGTCAATAAAAACCTTTTACTTTTTTTGCCGTTCCGTCGCCGTCGTCGTTGGTTTTGTTGTCATCCAGAAATAGTGCTACCATGGTGACGTGACGTCATACTTCTATCTATTTTCCACTGATATATCAGTGTGATAGGTGCCTGGTTGCATTGGCTTAGTTATGGCTGGAAGGCACGGGTTTACCAGCCGTGGGGGCGTAACTCTGTCCAGTTGCTGGCTTTGCCAAAAGTGGAAGCTTCTGGACATCTCGGGCACCCACCTCCATTGAACGTCGCTGTTGTTAACTTCTGATTTTTAGACGATGAACAAGTTTTAAAGACAAAAAATTCCCAGAAAACAATTAGGGAAGAATTTCAGACGATTGTTTTGTTATAAAACAATAACTGCAGTATTAAGTGTTCTTGGGTCTACGAGACATTGCGACATTTCATTTTGTCGTTGGTAAAGACAAGGAAATCTAACCTGCATCTCAATATTTTGTCGATGACGTCTTTAGGTGTATCAAAGACTTCAGCTGATCTTTCCTATAACTGGTTTTATGTTGCTACCTCACAACGTGAACACGAGACTTAAAACTAACAGGTTTGTAAAATGTGTTTACTTGTCTATATTACTAATAGATCAAGTACATATTAGTGAAAAGACTGCTGTATTCTTCCGCATTATCGAAAACATACTCCAGCGAGGTCTTTCTACTGAACCGGTTTCGGTCGAATGATATCCTGGTTTATAGGTGCATTATATTTTTTGACGTCGGAGTTTATGTCACCTGCTTTATTTAAACTTGTCCCGGGTGTTTAATGTCTCGAAGTTGATTAATATGTCATCTTTCTCAAGTTCGAGATATCCCATGCAATAAGTCTTCTATTTTTTTCTCAAGACTTGTGCTACACCAGTAATCATTCTACTCCTTCAACTTAAACCTGATTATAATACTCTTTTTAGGGATGGGTCGGCAAGAATTACCTACGAGCTTATCACAGACTGTTCTCAACGTACAGTGGCGTCCAACAGTCCAGCGGTGGTGTCAGTCAATCGAGGAGGTCAACTGTCCACTTCATCAGTGTCTGGAACAGGTGTTGTGTTGGTGACTATCCATGAAGAGTTTGGCATCAATCAAACTGCCGTTGTGCATGTGGAGGTACATCAACCCCTAATGTTTCCAAAGCCAGTTGCTCTTGTGGTTAGCATAATGGTGTCAATAGGCATGGAAACGAGAAATATTGCCCTTTTAAATCTTTCGCAACCGTGGCTTGTTTGACAGAACTTTGAACTTTCTTTCGTCTTCATTTAGGGAACATCTATAAAATCCCTTTTTTCAATACTTAATCCACTTGAAACGGTGGTTTGAATGCGGTTTTCTTTTTACTAACCTTAGGTTCTGAGCCTGCTTTCGCTTGTGTTGATTAAGAGGCCAGAACGCTTCTAAGTTTATTCGTTATAGTACAAGCTTTCTACATACATTTTAAAACCATTGTGTCCTTCTAACAAAGAAGTTGAAAACAATTTTATCCAGGTGAGACTAAGCTTACACAGCTGATTTATGGCTTCCATGTCCAGCGCAGCCGAACTGATGTATAAAACCCGAAAGGAACTCTTTTCAATTGGGGGTTTTAACCAAGATATGTACATGAACTTTGTCGAAAATCGACTTCCTAATAAAAATCTAGTTGATTTTCGTCATCGGTTGTGCTTCGTAAACAAAATAACGGAGCTCACAAGGGTAACAGATAGAACAAAGAGCGTACTTGATGTTATTCTTGTCAGTCACGCAGAACGCTACATAACTTCGGGTAATTTGCAACTTGGTTTAAGCGATCACGATCGGGTCTTTGTTGTTAGGAAAAGTAAACTTCCACGCCCAAAGCCACGCTTAATTGAATATCGCAGCATGAAGAACTTTGACAATGCGGAATTCTTGACCGAGTTAAAAAGACGCCCCTGGGGCACGACGCATGCGCCGGTCAAGAAAAAATGGGTGCGCAGTGATCAATTACCCTGGATCTCAACTGAAATTCAGCACGAAATTGCCCGGCGCAATTGGCTGTTTAAACGCTACAGGAAGAACCCAACTAACAATCTCTGGGTTGCGTATAAGCAACAGCGTAAATAGAATACTGTATTCCCCTCCTGTTAGGGGTGGGGAAAGTCCAGGCCAATAAAATTGAAGACGCGAATCATTATTTATTAAGGACACGGGAAATCATTGTCTTACCAAGAACTCTTAAATATATGTAAGTTAGACACTTTAGAGTGTAGGAAAAAGAAGCAATCTCTGATCCTATTAGCATAAGGGAAACGTCGTACGGTTTAAGAGGAAATGGAAATCTTTGCGTTCCCAAAGGTAATCTTAATTTTATGAGGAACTCTTTTACTTACAAGTGCGCTCAGGTATGGAATATACTTCCGGAAGATGTCAAGCTGGCCAATGATGTTAATATTTTCAAGTCTAAGCTAGGATCAATTTAGTTTTAATTTGTATATTCTTAAAATTTTTTGTAATTTTTATAATTTTTTATGTTCATGTGTACATAGATTATAGATTACATTTTTTTTACTTATTATTATTATTATTATTATTATTATTATTATTATTATTATTATTATTATTATTGTAGATTTAATGCACGTTCATGTTTTGAACGAGCACTTGTGCTCTTAGACGAGAACGTAGTTAAATAAATTGTTGTTATTGTTGTTGCTATTGTTATTGCACACATCAAATAATATTATGTATAATAAAAGGAAAGGCTTGTTAGAGAATACTCACTTGCTGTCCGGCGTTAACACCATTTGTAGGTCAAAGCAGTGTCATCACTATCCATCACATGTCAGTCTCCTCCTGTCAGAGCAAACTCAGACGAGTTCCAGACTTTCCCTCTGGGTATGAATGCGTTGTTCGCTATAACTTTGCATGACAATATTGGACGGGAATTTGCTGTTGCTAGTATTCCTCTAAAGTACAGATTGAACAGGCAAGTTGCTAAATTAAAGAAGATTAAACTAGTTATTATATTACCAGAATATAACATCTTGTTCTAAAATAACCATTTATAGTAGAGGTTATGGAAAAAAAAAGAGAGAGAACCTTTTATGTAATTGAATGTAGTTTTTATCAGGTTTTATGCAGTTTGTTTTTTAAGTACCGAAAGTAATTTTAGTGTTCAACATATTTTACTTTTTTGTTGTTGTTGTTGTTTTGTTTTTTACGCTGACGAAAATAACGGCTATTGATTTCGGCGCTACATAAAATTTGTTATTATTGGGCAAACTGGATGTCAAAGAACGCACATCCCCCAAACAACTTTTCAAGTATTGAGTCTTGAGTGAAGGTTCCAGTGGCCAATATGTATGTCGTGGTCTCATCCGTTCAGAAGCCCTTTAAGCTATCCGGGCAGGTCGACCACATACTGGTAGAGTTAGACCAACACACCAGGCACTACGTCCCTCACTCACTCTTAACAAAAAGTGTGTGGATTCTTTAGCGTCCCACAAAATTATTCATGAATGCTGGCCCAAAAGTTTTTTGACACTTCTTGGTTTTCTTCAACGTAGTGCAAGGCAGCAATAAGAACTTCAAAAAAGCAATTGTTATAACAAGCACCACAATTGTGTACGTGCGTCCCACGTTTTCGTTCATTTTTTGCCATCACTCCAAGCCTACAATGTGAAACTTTTAAAAACATTGAGACGTTTTCTGAAGAACTTGAGTGTAGGACTAGGAATTTTTTTTCACTTTCTGGCCTTGCATACGGTGGGGAAGAATTTGACTCCAGGTGCATTCGCTTTACATTTGAGAAAAAAAAATTAAGCGAGTTGGAATTACCGTACAGCATCAACGAACTCAAATTGAATTTTCCATAGGCGTTTTTGCTGTCGTCACGTTACTCCCTACTAGTGTCCTTACACACGATTCGCTGCCTGCATCAGATGCGGGGAGTGATGTGTGCTCATTAGTTGTATTTGTGGTATCAGTCATTTACGATGTTTCGGATCCCTAACCTGATGCATGCACTTATTTTGTTGTGGATAGGTTTGATGCTGTCCATGTTGCACCTGGACCTGAAAATGGCACATTTTATGCTCGAGCAATGAACTTCGGAGAAGCCATTCTTAAGGTCAGTAAACAGTAAAAATTCTGTTCAGAAAGTTCAGCGTCTAAAACGAAAATATTCAAAACCACTGTGACCTCGTTCATTACGCATACAGGGGAAAAATCCGCAAGCTGGAAGTGCAAGATGAAGTAAAAATGAAAAATTATACAAATAACACAAATCAACGCACAATGTTCATGAATATACAACTAGGTATACCTATCGATAGAGTGCCAACGAGCAAATCATGCGTATTTTGCTTAGGAATAACATTCCTTTTTTTCCCCATTTGACCGTTTCTTGGTCCCTTCCTGTTGCAAGGATTATTTTCTTGAAAAGTTCTCAGATTCAGTGGCTTTACAAACCTGCTATGTAAAAGTGTGAAATGCCTTGAAAGAATAAAGTCAGCTTTGCAGAGGAAGCGATCGGGAATATTATTAAGTCCAGCTACAAATCTACTGTCGGTTCGGTTTCACATTGTTGATAAATATTTGCACAGTTTAATCATTTAAACCTCCTTTCAAATTTCCCGAGGCTTTTTGTTATCGGATTGAAACTTAAAATGATTCGCTGGGCCATCTGAAATGTTTCCAAGGACATGCGATGTACGGCACGTCGGTATTTAATTTTAGTTCATTATTTTTATACTGAACTCGGCCACGTTTCGAAAAAAATGGCGTTGTTTTCTTTTCCTTTGTCGTTCGCTTTAGGCTTGTAATTCGTTTTTGTTCTCATTGTTTTTGTTTGCTGGTTAGATTTTTTCCCCAACACCAGATTTTCCAACAGAAGCGACTGCATTCTTCGTGTCAAGCTTTCCTTATCTCCTCGTGTAATCTGATCCTTTTTAGTGGTGAGAACATTGCTTGCTGCACATAGAACACTTTTGCTGTTTTACAAACTTCTCTTCTTTAAAACTTAACTTTATGGCCCCTAAAATTAATAGAATATATCAAGTGCTCATGTCTCTTGACTGCAGTGGCCGGGTTTGACGAAAAAATTTAGGTGTGTGTGAAATTTTGTTTGTTATTCAACTTGAGCCCGTGCGCCTGGTACTGCCTTTTGATTGGTTCACAACTGACCACTTGGTCTCAGGGGAATCTACATTACATTAGGTTACACTTTTTTCAGCTCGATCGAGAATTTTTCTGCCTATTGCCCAGTCCTTGCGCGGCTCTATTCTGCTGCCGCCTCGCCATCCGAGCGTCTTCGCTCGGATGGCTCGTTGGCAATAAAGTATGGACGTGTAAAATGATTGCGGTCTAGAAGTGTGTACAACGTTTTATTCGCATGCATGGAAAGTAGTGCATCATACCTGGGGGATGGAAGAATGGGTCTCTAGCCATGCATTCGAGAAGTTATAAGAAAATGCACACAATAGTGGCGGTAATTTATCCTGCGCGAAGAATTATGGGGTAACTGTCATTGTGTTCTTGTTTTGAATTGAAGAAAGATCCTCACTGTTATATACACCACTTGGTCAGATTTAAACCTAAAGAAGAAACGAGAATCATAACATCATACAGTACTCTCTCGACATCAGTGGTCCTAGTAATTTTACAGGACGCGTGTGATATATAAATCTAGTTTATGGACTTGCTGGGTCCCTTAGAGTGACTCCGTATCTCAGCTCCATATCTCAGCCCGGTGTTTGGGAGATCAAAGGGAGGAAACTCCTTTTTTTTTCTTTTTGTGCCCCGCTTGAAACGTGACGATTATCACATCTTCCCTTCCACCACCGAACTTGAAATTTAAAGTTAACCACCTCCCTCTACCGCAAAAGCGATCCCCTGAAGTCCTCACAATACGTAAACGTGATTCAAGAACGAATGACGTACATTTTAGATCGCTAGAAAACAAATGAACGGTTTAGGCCGCGAGGAGATACCCCTCCCAGAGAAACGCATTGTTGGGCTTTTAAACTGAGCAACAGATTTGCTGGGTACATTTTCTACATAGGCAAGGGTTTTTGCGGTAGCAAATTATACGCTAGGAAGACTGCATTGTCACATGCATAAAACCTTGTGTTGTGTCTCTCTAGGTGTGGGATCCGAGCGCAGTGGACATAGCAGACTACATACGCATAAGGGTAGGACATGGTCTGACTCCGTCGAAAGCCACACTGTTACTAGGAACGGTACAGCAGTTCAGCACTAGTGTTATATCAGAAGGTACTATTAGAAATCAGTCGAAACAAAAAAAAGATTCTTATACATGTCTCCTCCTGGCATTAATCACGTGTGTATGAGCATGCGCTTGTGTAACGATGGGTCTTTATTTGATGCAACTTTGGCTCTTTAAGTTACTACGGCTATACACCGACTTTTAATATGCGATTAATCTTCCTGCTCTTCACACAATTTATGCCATAGACCCAGTTACCATCAGGAATTTACACCTTTTGCTGTTCATTACGAGAAAATACGCATTCATTTGCATGAAAAGGCACAAAGGCCAAATTTGTTTGAATTTCTATTGTTTAATTGAAAATCGATTTTTGTATATTAAATGTAAAGAACACTCAACTGATTGTACAAGCACATTTAATGTTTGTCTTATCCATCCTAAGGTTGTCCAGGAATGCTATTGAATTGCAAACAGTGTCGTAAAAATGTTAATGAATAGTGTTTGCACTTTAATGTATGTCAGTTGTTCCTATTGACTTTCAAGATGGTATTAATGACTTTGATGTTGGCCTTAATGAAAGTATGTTTCTCTCTTTTGTAAGCCCAATGACGCATATGAATGCCCAAAAGTGAAATGAATGTTGATTAAAATGCAAAAATCGTAATTGAAACTGATTTATGCGCAAATCTTCGTATTTTCGCGCTAATGAATGTATCTTCGCACTATTGGTCGCCGTTTCACGCAAAAGACTGCGTATTTTCTCGTAATGAACAGCAAAAGGTGTAGTGGAATATCTCCATTTTTTACTATCTTGTAGTATTGTCAAGGTTAGACGATAACATGGGGGAAAGTAATCTTTGTAGTCATTTTATTTGTACAGAAGTATATAACCCTGAAGCGACTAAACCTAACCTTATCTGTTTAGAACCATGCTGAGGATTTTTAGCCGACGTAGCCGTCTAGTCAGAAGCACGGAATTTTTTTTTTGCCCAAATATAATCAGAGAATTCAAGGCTAAAAACTTGGAGCTTGTTACGCTTATACGTGTATTTCTACGACCGAAAGAAATCGTTCCGTGGCATAAAAGATAAAGTAATTTTGCTGCTATAAAATGCAACCCTGGGAACACATAAAGAGCCACAATGTTAAACGGTATGGCTTGAAAACTTCGACCAGCGACGAAGTAAGTTAAGGCTGTTTACATTTCTTCACTATATCGCGAAGCCTCTCGCCGAAATCAGCAAAATTCGTCTGCAGTCTGTTTGACCTCAAGCTACTAGCTGCAAACCTATCTACCAGTTATCTGTAACTTCTGTTCTCATTCAGTAAAACCAGCATGGTGACTTCAAACAAAATGATATGGCAAGCTTTGCAGAAGCGTTGTACAAGGCGACGAAGTTGGAACGGAATCTTTTTTTTTTTCGGAGTGTAGAATTTTGAATTCTTTCAGAACTGTACACGAACCAATTACATGAGTATGGCAGTTTTGATTAGACTTGTGACGTGTAAAAGTTTGTTTTCGTTTTGGGGACAAAGAAAAGTTTTAAGCTGCAAAATTTACCTTCGGGGAGTTCGACCTTGTTTCCTTCACGGCGAAGCCCTTGTCCTTTTCTGAACTGCGACCAAGTCAGCAAAGTTTTTCAAGAATTTTCGGGTACATTTTACACATTATGCTCTTGGAAAGTACGTTATTGAAAGGAGATTTATGTATCTGTAAATGTTTCATAGACGTTTTATAGGTTTTTGATAGAGTTTTAAAGAAAAATTGGGGAATGTGCCCGATTTGAGACAGATTTAGTGTCAATTTTTGCCATGTGCTCAGCCGATTTTACTTTTGTGAACGGATCCACGATACAGTCAGTGTTACGTGATTGCTTTCAAAGGTAAACTTATGGGTTTTCGATTAAAATTTTTCAAGAAACGATTTGTCTGTCTATTGTTTTCTGTTTGTTTATTTATAAAATTAGTTGAAAACATCGTGAGACAGCATCTATGTAAGCAACTTGCATTTCATTCTTCTTATTACACGCATCACTTCTGCGAAGATGTCAGCGAATTTTATACAATTTTTACTTTCGAGTTCAGTAGCTAGTTTATTAGAAAATATGTCACTAGTTATTCTAGATAGATAGAAAGTAATTTTTTTTAAGGTTATTTGCGCTAATGGTCACCCAAAAACCCGTTTTTGAAGTGACAACTTCAAGAAATCGCTTCTCGTACGGTGCATGTCATGAGTAGTCGACTTTGTCCTGTTCGGAGGAAGTCAATCCTGGTCATTTGGGTCTGAATAATATTCCGTTTTTCGTCAAATAGTTAACCTCGTAAAACAGTAGTTGCCTTTTGCAGTCCATCATGTAGATCTCGATACAAGTTTTCCCAAGCACTTGCGCGATAATCTCGCTTATCGGTAATTCCATATTGGGAAGTAAATTTTGATTGATTCCCTAAAAATCCGCGTCATTGGGACAGAGTTATACGCTTGGCGGTTGTATGCTTCTGATTTGTATTAACCTACATTTGATGGCATTGTGTGATATCCTGTCGGAATTTGCTATCCTATGACGGTTTGTTAAGCAGTGGACGTTAGAAACTACTTCTTTTTAGTTTGTCTCAACGTCTGATATTCTCTACACCACCAGTTTTTTTCCTTTTAAAGAAACTTTACAGACCCAAAGGATCTCATTAGTTAGTCATCTGATACACCTGGGTTCAAAGCAATGGCCGAAACATTTTGGTCAGGTATTTTTTGGTACGAATTAAAATTTAACGAGTTTATATGTAAGTGTAAACTTTTTTATGATTTGTAGTTCTTTTCACTCATAACACCAAATGAGATGTCCGTATACCTTAGTTCAATTATCAATATCACGGTGGAAATTTATCAGGAAAGGCATTCCGTATAATTTGTCTCTAATACTCCAATTGAAAATTCGTATTTTTTTGGCACAGCCTTTATTTCCGTCAGAAATTTCAGGCTTTCCTGTTTCACACCTGAAAAGCGACAAAATTTCACTCATCGAGTCACGCCTGCAAAACGTAACTCAAAAGGGCCTCAAAAGGTCCATCGTCATTTTTTCGTACTAACAGGAATTGTTCTCCAATTTAAGGTGTTGGAGGTGTGTGGTCTTCCTCAAATAGCCGAGTGATCAACATCAACTCGACAACTGGCGTCGCTGTGGCAACAGCGGCAGGAACAGCTATTATTTATTACAGGATCCCAGAACTTTATTCTGCGCAGACGGAAGTCAAAGTCGAGAGTTTGACTTATATCCGTGTCATCCCAGATGACTCTTTGATTATTACAACCGTCCAACGTCATGATGGCCGAGGTTTTGTCATTCCCGTCAGTTTGGGTCACGATACGCTTTCTGTAGAGGAGACATCCAAAACTTCTGGCCTTCCCGATGGAATACTGTTATATGAAGGCTTGGGAGCTCAGTATTCTATTCCTGTCCACTGCATTCTTAACTCGGACTATGGTAATAACTTCTTTGGGGACATAAACTTCTACGATCCGTACGACGTTTTTGAAGTCAAGCCTGGTCTATTTAATGGCAAACTGATGTGTTACTTGATTCCAAGAATTTTGACAGCAGATGTCGAGCATGCTGTAATTATGAGCGAGGCGAAGCTCAGCCTTACTGTTAAGGTGTTTGATGAGATTCACGGACGCAGCATCTCATCAGAGGCTACAAGCCTGCCATTTTTACCTCCCTTCCAGCTCGGGGATACTGAACTGGAGTTAACAGCTGACACAAGAAAAACGACTATCACTGTCGTAGGCACTGCTGAGCAGCTAAATAACCTAGAGGTAAGAGATTTCCTGTTACTTTTGAATAAAAAGAACATGGAGTAAATAGACCGGTTAAAATATTTCACTCCCAGAGTCATTCCTTCATATTTGTTACGTGATTTTTAAGTCTTAAGCTCATATCAAACCTCATAGCTCAATTACTCAATTGGAAGCTGCAACTGCTTCTCACTTAGCTTTGGTAAAATGTTTATAATACAGTCAACTCCCTTTATAGCGGACACTGTAGGGACCTTAAGTTAGTGTCCTCTGTAGCGAGAGTCCTTAATAGCGGGAGTTTATTTCAGTCAAATGTCTGTAATTTATTTTTGCCCGGAATTTATCTGCTGTCCGTATTATCGAGGTGTCCGTTATAGCGGGGTGTCCGCAAGGCGAGAGTTGACTGTATAAGAACCCAGTGATTTGAGAACTTACAGGTTTAAATTTGGCATTAAGTACCCCAAAATATAAGAAACTGTTCAGCCTGGAAAAGAAAAATACGTTCTTATGCAAAAAAATCACCCAAATTTTGATCGTCAAAATTCTGGTTTTTAATTGTGTGAGAAACTTCTGACAAAAAGTTATTGTGTATATGTTTTCTTTGATTTACGTTTGTTTGGATTTTCACAAGAAATCGTTTTCCATAAACCATTATGTATCAGTAGCACAATTTTTCTGCCAATGGCTACACTACGACAACCTCTGAAAAATAACCTATTAAGAACCTAATTAGCCGGAATTGTGAAGAACTACCCTATAATATAAGAACCTGTTCAGCCTAACCCCAAAAATTCTAGGTTCTTATATGTAGGCTTTTACTGTATTTGGACTTTCTAATGTTGTGAACTGTAGCTGAAGATGACTAATCAGTACAGCACCTGTGGTTTCGTTTGTTTTAAAAAATATTCCATATTAAACAGGGCTCGAAATTAACTTTTTCGTTCGGGAGCCAGCTGGCGACTAACGGAAAAATTTTGGTCGCCAGATCGTAAATTTTGGTCGCCAGCTTATTTTATATATAACTTAGACCCTGTTTACATGGAGTGTGGGGACCGCAGTCTAGTGGGGTAGGTTTCTTTTGCTTTGTGTCCCCCAGGGAGTGAAAACAAAAGAAACCAACCCCACTAGACCAGGGTCCCCCACTCCATGTAAAGAGGCCCTTACACAAGAACACGATTTTATACGTTACTTTGCATGCAAGAAAAGTCACAACTGAAGAGCGAAAACAATTAGAAACAACATGAGTAACACTTAGTTATAAAGCTACCGTTGTTCTCAGGTGATATGTCTCAGGTCCGAAGGTGATGGTTGTCTCCATAGTCATTTTAAATGAAGCGAAGCATAAAACGTTTTAAGTCCGTGGTTTTCATTCTGAGACAAACACGGGTCCTTGCGTATTTGCCCTTTGCTACTTCTACGAAATGGCGTTCTTTATTTTCGACTTGCTTTCCTCGACGCCTTTCGCTGCCGACAAACAACGCCATGCTTGGCCCAGGCCACCACATTGCTCGTACCAGTCTCCGACCGGGAGGAAACATAAATGGGCTTAGTGCCGTTTTTAGGTCTTCGTTTCATTTTAGACAGAACGTTGTAGGAAAGTAAAACCTAAAATATTGCGGGAGTTTACGGAAGCACCGCTTGAATTGAATCGCTATCTCCTTACCTTAAAGTATAAAGAAACGTTGTTAAGAACTATTCACTCAGGTACTTTTTCTATTAGTGATAGTTATATCCATTTATTAACCGCCCACTTTCCCTACATCAACAACTGATGAAGGATTCAAAGTTTGGATTAACCTTTTGGCTGAATCTTCATTCCCCGCACGTAAATACTCACGTATTTCCTTCAACTGATTTGTATCTGCCGCCATTTTCGCGGCAAATGAAAAGCACATGGTGTTGAAGTGCGCCTGCGATCTCAGTTTCGGAAGAAGCCACTGAAACAATATGGCGCGTCGTGAACGCAGTATCGACGTTTCGAAATACATTCAATTTTTTCGATTATCTTGTAGTATTCAGACATTATTTTACTGGGGACAGAAAGGTGAGTTGGATACTAGCTACCATATCCGATTGATTTCCTAATATAAAGATTTAAAAACAAAAGTTGTGTCGTGGTTTTCTTTACCCATCGGACAAAACGCGAGTCGCCAGCTGGCGACCAGTTCTGAAAATTTGGTCGCATTGGCGACCAGTGAGTCGCAATGTCGAGCCCTGCAGGGATACTGAATTTTCGATGTTTGCGTAATTTTGTTTTTAATTTCCCGGTTTTAGAGCTTACCAGTTTATAAAGTAATTTTAGGATCGTCATTTCATTTTTCTTTTTTCACCAGGTAAGGTCCCAGGACTCATCACTAGTAGACCTCTCATACCTATCTCGTACGGGAGACAGACGAGTAGAATACGCGATAGAAGTGATAGGACAGAATCCCAAATCATTTAAGAAATTATGGGTGGAATTTAAAAGCAAGCTAACGGGCCAGCGAGCGTTAGTGTACGTCTCCTACTCTGCCCCTTATGGAGGTGCCGTCCCGATTTTGTTGCAAGGTGGAGGAGAAAGCGGACAACAGTGTCCGACAGCCACAGGAACACCAACCGACAGGAGTTTTCAAGGTTTCCTTCTAACGCTACTTGGCCACACAAGTGCTTGGATCATTGGGTTCTCCCTCTTTATTGGCTTGCTCATTCTTGTATTGATCTTGTGCTGCACACCAAGGCACAGGGATGTTGGTCCAGGTGGTGTTACGACGAGTCCTGTTTCAAGCGCCTACGGTGGTACCCCATTTCGTGGGAGCTCATACGGCCAGGAACCATATCGTGAATCCCCTGCGGGAACCTATTCTGCTGGAAGACGCCCCTATGTTTTTTCATCAGGGGCAGGTGATATATCATCAGGACGATCTATCCCCGAGGAAAACGATGATACTCGACGAGAGCGTCTTGCGACATACAGGCGTACCCATACTACCAGCCGTGCCTTTCTATCTGAAGAAGGTTCTCAAACACCCGGAGGTTCACTGCCTTTAGGTCGCGTATCTCCGAGTAAATCTCCTGGTCTTTTCAGTGTTACCCAGTAACACAGTGGAAGTTATTTGTTTTAGGGTTAGGGTTTTGATATAAAGAAGGCTTAGCGTGGTGTGATATTTTCCATTTATGGCAATCTCAGTTTAATAAGACATCTTTGGCCATTTCCTTGCTCCTTAGATTTTATGAGAAAGGAGCTTTCTCGCTTGTTCGCGTGCGATAACCGGA